AAAATTCCATTTACTACCGCAGCCAAGGTTGGCAGATAACAATGTTGTTATAACGGCAATGAAATGAATAACCCCGTCGTCAAACATGTTGTAACGGAGTGTCACTGTTTTTTTCTGTCTATCTCGACTACAATGCGCCTCTAGAAAGCTGATCATTTGGAAATATCCCCAGCACTGAGTAGGCACACAGAAGTCAGATTTAGCTGAGGCAACTTTGGTAACTGCAACAAAAACTTTATTATTCCTAATACACAGTAAAAGTGCCGTTTACACGCCAATATCTGGTTGATAGCATGACCTTGAAAATCCCTGCGCAATCATATCATTATGTCGGTACATGCATCAGTCATAACTTCACGGCTAACAAACATAGTTAGTCTGTCCCAGCAGATATCACCAATCTAACCATTTATGTACTGAAAACACCAGAATGCATGCACTATTTCAGGATCATTACTGATTTCTTTATTTACCCAAACCTTGCTATTCACACGGGTGATTTAGGTTCATCGGTACTAGTTCCCCTGATATTATTGATATAAAAAACGTGTAGTAACATGCATAATGTGGTTGTTAGATAACCTATTATGTTGACGATCTGTGTTGCATATTTTAAATACCTCCATCGTTTGACGCTCTTTTCTGGCAAGTAAGCTTGGAATAGACACCAGGTATTTACCTGTATTAGTGATGGGTTCGTCACTAATGATTGACCAATATGTGCTACACTTCTGATGTCTGTAAACTAGTGTCTGTTGTGCATGACTCACTCCGAACATATAATGACTATTTCTTCGCTGGTGTTCGGTCATTCTATCATTGATGGGTTTATGCCGAAGTTAGTTATATTTCGGAGTGGAGTGGAACGACTAGAAGTTATTATTCACTATAATCTCACTAGACCACTTCTCTAATTGTTTGTGCATTCTGAAAGCGAATTTTTCAAGACTTGAAAATACTACTTATGACAATGGGCTTTGAAAGGCTGACGATTGTGGAAAACACGGTTTCACAGCATTTACAACTTTCGACAGGTGCAGGAGGCTGGATACTTTCTCTGTTTCAATATACGTGTATATATAGAATAAAAAAACTAAAAATAATAAAAATACCCAAGACATGTTTACAACGAATAATTATTAGGGTGATAAGTGAGTGATCCATGAAAAATGATGCATAAAAATATTACTTGATGATGATATATGACTTTTGTGCGGCCGACAGTCCACTTAATCTGGCTTTTTCCTCCTCACCCTAGTGGCTCAATCATTGATAAAGCTCTTTATGCGGTGAAGAAAGTTGGTTATCGCTTCAATTAATGTAATAACACATGCTGTCATCCCGGTAGGAAAACAGTGTTTTTAAAGACAAGGAAACGTTATAATATGAAGTGCATAATTTGAAGAGTCAAGCTCCTGCAGCGTTTTACATCTAAAGTCCATTCGAAAAAGAGTGTCAATGCGATAGATAATCGTGAGGTTTTCTGGATTTGGTGTTTGAGGAAATAAAAAAGTACTTTGTCCTAAGAGGAAAGAAGTTCCAATATTTGATGGGACTATATTGGTGAAAAATAGGCCTGAAGTTCATATATATTTACTGGAACACAGTGTAGTTTTATCCTGCACAACCAGACTTTGATGGAGCAAGGAATACGAATAAAAGGAGTATATGCTAACTTCAGAAAGATCCTGGACAAATAGGATGCATGAGTTTATATTGGTGCTCAGGTGAAATTCATTATGAAATATATAAATGATTGTTTAGTCAGAAGAGAGACTGTAAGGTCCGAAAAAGCAGAACGCGCTGACTCATACGATGTTTCGTGTAACTTCTTAGAGGCCATCGAATTGCACCTTGACAAGGTGTGAAAAAAATCAGATATAGAGGGCTAAGGCACTATCTGTTATCTGGATCTAGACAATCTCTGTTGCCTTTTATTCTCACTTCACCCGTACACTTAATCACACATTTATGATTTTAATGGGGAGGTGTGTGGCGACTTTTAAGTGGTGGCTTCATTGCATGTCCGCTATAGTTGTAGCTCGGTAGTCCACTGCAATGGTGGTTTAATGATAAGTTTTAATTTTCAAATATAATTCTTAAATGAAATCTCACATTAGAACTTTTTACTGGCGTGCATATTATCGGTGGCATTACATTCTTGAACTGAACTTTTATCGGAAAATGTTGTCTGATTCTGAGATTTGCGCAATATAATGGATTAAATGAGACAGTAAGTTCAAAAGTTAAATGTGTATTTTTGGACTTATAGGACTTAGTTTCCATGGAAAAGCAAAAGCTCAAAACCTTAGAGTGGAGTCTTACTGGTAAAACATCACTTGCGAAAGTTGTCTGCTCATGCTAACCGCCTGTTTTGTTTGACTGTAAGAAACAGTAAGTTATCCAGAATATTGTGCGCTCTATACAGCTTGCGTGGACCTTAGCCTAGAGTTCGAAATGAAGTTAGTGATTTGCAGTCAGAGAGAGAGTCTGCTTCTTTCTCATTGTCAAGCGAAGAGTATATTTGATGATGTCACTGCATATTAACAGATTAATGAAGTAGCTATAAACCCTAAGTTACTAGAATTACTTGTACTACATACTTGGCGTTTAACAGTATACAGACTTGAAACTGGCTAAATAAGGCGACTTTAGCGTATCGAGCAGTACAGAATAATTATTCAACTTGCTAAATCCTACTTAGTCTTTACAATGTGCTGTTGTATAGAAACAGACGCGAAATCCTATGAATGACTAAAGTAACGGGCTGATAATACTACAGTAAATCTCCATCCCACTAACTAAGCTTAACATGCATTGATCCGAATTCACTCATTACAAAAGCACATAGTATAGCGACGCACTGAAGAAGTCTAGAAGAAGTAGGAATCAAGAGTATATTAAACATTTCACTAATTTACAAAGAAAATTCTGATCAAGGGTATTAGCGTCAGTTTGACCGATTGACATTTTCGCTGATTTCACATTCGACAACCTCCGTATACCTGAAAAAATAAAGCTTGTGTAAGAACTAGCACAACATGAAGGTATAAAAGATAATTCTACATATTACGATACACTGTGAATACACTGATTGCATTTAATACTAAGTAAAATTCTCATGGAAATAAAAGTATTTGCAGTCCACAGATGGTTTTTTATTGACGCCGAATGCATAAATAGACCTCATATGTTTTCCAGTTTTAGAGGGTTATACACAAATCCAAAGACAACCTCTGAAACATCCATATTATTGAGGCGTCTTTCTCCTACTAAGATTACTTGCAGGTCAACTTCACACTAAATACGTTTACACTGAATGAAGTATTGCAAATGTGTAACTTGGAAATTGGTCCGAAGTCTCAGTAATGTCCAGTGAGCATAGCTTTATGAATCCTACAGAAATTTCATTCTCATATTCAGTAAACTATGGCCATAAAATATAAGCTGAACATGCCTCAACTCTATACAGCTATGTAGTGTTAACAGAATAGAGAAATACTTAAAATATTGCAAGATACACAGACCTGTTGTGTTGATGAGGATAAAAATGCTATATAATGCAACCTAAACTTTCAGTCATGATGCGGCATCTGTACTGCTTCATGTTAATGTAAATATCAGGAGATATACATCTCCAATATTGGTGATGAAAAACATTGCAGCATTAAGTTTACAGTGTCAGTGGGAATGGTGTAACAGGCAGTAGATTGATAATAATAATAAAGCTGAATAGATTCAGTTCTCATAATCACCACGATTCATGTGTATAATCATTCCGTGTAATGAATTAATGCACTGAGTGGAACAGCAAGGAAATTTAAACGAGTAATTGCCTTCTCCAATGCACTGCACTTGCAACAATCACGAGAACCATCTACATTTGTTAGCCAAGCAGTCAGCTAAGCAGACAATGGCACAATATTATTACAGTTGAGATATTTTTGTACACTGAATTGACATAACCCATATTGCACTGCACGAATTGTTTTTTGATTACAGCTTGATTCCACACCGTACTTTTTGGTACAGGTATGGAATTTTCAGCATGTGATATCGGTAGCCCAAATTTTGCAGGCCGACCATAGATATCAGGTGTGCGTCGGCAGGGGATCGAACCCCGGACCATGTGCATGGTCAGCGGGAGTCCTAACCACTGTGTCACCCATGCAAATATACATGAAATCCACTTAGAGATAACCTTTCAACTTACGATAATTCCTGTACAACCACGGATAGAGTGAAAAGCACTTCTGCATGATAACTTAGGTTCGCACAGACGATTCTGTTAGCATTTACAGGTGATTTCCAAGTACTGATAGAATTCTTTTGTCAAATAGTACTGTTCTTCACACGAAAATAGGCTGTATTGATATCCTGAGACTTGAAGTCTTCATTGAATGATACTATGCCGAAAGGTGGGTGTGGGTGACATTGTGTGGGTGACATTACCCTCCAACTATCCTATCTTCCTCATTATAGCGATATTTTGATACAGTCCGCCTGAAACACTAATAGTTGCAACCAATATGTTATGAGTGTGTCGCAGTCAGATCACATGACGCGGACACCAACATAACTAGCCAGGAAATGGGAATTCCCATCAATCCAGATAACATATAATACAATTTTATTAAAATTTATTGACAAAATTTTCCAAGCGAAATTTTAACAGAACGTGATGTATAAGTCCAGTCATGAATTTGTTCCACTAAGCTAAAAATTATGTTGTGCCAGTTTTATTACTACTTTGTAACAGAATGAAAATGGCTATGGATAGAGTATTTAACACTGTTTTCTTTTCTTTCGGGGAAACAAATAAGCTATTTGTTTGCGAGGGCTTGTCACGCTTATTCTGATTGTTGCTTTGTACAAAATACACGCTCTTATGGAGCTCACGTTCTTCTTTCTTTCTCTGCGTACCTAATGCTTGTTGTGTTATAATTTCAAAGTTCGCCTCAGTAACGTGTAACACATATTAGCCGCAAAGCGTTTGCAAAGGAAAATCTACCAATCACAGTGTGCATAAGTGACCTTCAAGTGCTCAGCCTCTCCATAAGCTATTTGTGCCGCTATCCCATATCGTGTGCCGCTATCCATTGCTAGAAGTGAGTGCTGCTTTCCACTGCCATCTTGTTGTTCGGCTTGTCATGTCATCTTGCTATGCTTTTTTAGTATTGTTGTAGCGATCGATTTCTCTTGCGTAGGAAAAAAATCACGTGTGTCGTTGTAAATAACACCCATTATTTCGGATGCATTGATATAGATGTCGGTTAGCCACGACTTAAAGACTGCAGGACGGTCGCCTGGTGGCATCTCGTAGTTTCAGGTTTCTATCGAGAATACTTAGAGAGTTTGCTAGAATCACTAGAGATATGTTAGCCTCTTTATATACATCTCTGGTGAGGTAAAAATCAGTCAGTCTTAATTATAAAGGGAACTCATTCTATAAAGGGTTCAAAGGAAGGTAACACCTTTTCAGATTTAGACTCAGATTCATTGGTTGAGGATAAAAGGCTTGGAGCCTGTGTCAATCCGTCAAGAGTAGACAACAGACACTAAAGTCAAATGACCCTCAGTCAGATCGCTCAGCATTACATAAGAACGCTGTTCATAATAATCTTTGCAAGCTTCACCTAGATTTAGTTTTTGACCTCTGTGTGGAAAACAGGTTGATAGAGAGGACTAAGAGATTGATATGTGGAGGGACAATGACTTTGTAAATGTAGTGCTGGGCTTTCGATGGTCATGCATTTAGGTACAACCACTGTTAAATGAGTGAGTCTGTAAGGGTTGGTTAGTCGTAAATTATGGTGGTTTTTAGGTACCTTCCTCTCAAAATCAAATTCTCCCTTAGTAAAATATGACACAACCACAGATGAATTTTTCTATCTGGAGACACTCCTAGGAGATATTGGGACAGAATTTTACAGCATATTAGGGATATATATCCTGCATAATACATTATTGTAAAATGTTTATTATAGATACAATTTTTTGCAGATTACCATTTTTCCACGTAGAACCTGATTGTTTCTTGCAAGGTCATTTGTAGTTTGTGTCTATTCTTTACTGTTGCCGTTAATCCGTTTCTAGTAAATTTCTGGGGTTGTCCTAACCCTTCTTGAATGAATCAACTGAGGACGCTTACATTTCTTCTGGAAGTTCGTTCCAGGAGTTGTTGACTCAGTGTGAGAACCAGTACTCCACAGAGATATTAGTTTTCCTTGGCTTTTGAACTCTCGTGCTGTCTTCTGAAGTGTTCCGACCTGGTAGAGAGGAGAAGAGAAAGTACATCAGGTCCGCAGTCATTATTTAAAATTTTAAACATTGTAGTAAGATCTCTCTGTCTACGGTATGACAAGGGGAAGAGATTCAAAGAGATCCAAGGCTTCCTGCCGACTGCCTCCAACCATCTAATATCATCACAGAGATTCAAACTGTCTAGTCTTTCCTCGTATGATAAGTTAGTCATGCTGAGAACCATACGTGTTGTCTTGCTTCGAACCCTTTCTAGAATGTGTGAATCCCCTTTTAGACAAGGGCTGGCGGCCTGAATGCAGTTTTCCAGTCTTGACCTCACCAGAGATGTATATAAGGAGGTGAACATATCTCTGGTGATTCTGGTTAAGCCTCTGTGAATTGCATATAAGGGTCTAAAACTACGTGCAGCCACCGCGCGACAGTGAGCTGTAGTTTTTGAATCGTGACTTACTATGAACCCTAAATCTAAAAGAGTTTGAACTTATGGGAGTGTTATCCCCTCTAGTTCGTAGGAGCTGATGCTTGCTTGTCTGATGCGCATTTCGCTACATTGATCGGGAGCATCCATTCTCTGGACCACTCTGACAAATTGCTGAAGTCCTTTTGCAACGTGAGCGTATCACGTACCCTTCAGCTCTCTCCAAATTTTTAAGTCATCTACGTATAGAACCGTAGGGAGATCAGTGAGCAGAGATAACTCATTGATATACAAAATAAATAGGAGAGGTCCGAGTACCGTGCCTTGTGGCACTCTGCTACGCACTGCTGTCCAAGAGGAAAGTTTCGAATTGATCCTAACCCCCTGCCTCCTGTCTATGAGGAATTCCCTTAGCCAGTTTAGTAACCTGCCTTTGATACCAAGACTTTCCGAATTCACGAGTAGTTTCTTGTGGGGAACTTTATCGAAGTCTGTTTGTCTGGTTTCAACAACAACTTTCTCGAAGGCTTTGCTGAAGTCTATGAAGACGACGTCAACGGGTCTTCTGTTGTCCCTTGATTTAACCCAGCTTTCTCTTGCAGTGAGGGGATTCGACAGGCATGATGGGTTTCTTCGGAAGCTGTGCTGTGCTCTGGATAACATTTTGTTGTTTTCCAGATATGTCGTGATACTTTTGATGATTCTTTCCAGTGTCTTGATTAAAGTGCTGGTAAGACTAATAGGCCTGTAATTTGAAGGGCTTTGTCTTGATCCCCCTTTGTGGATGGCGGGTACTATGGCGTCTTTTCAGTCACACGGTAACACTCCATTTAGGAGAGATAGCTTGAAAATCGTGGGCTGGCTATGTGAGCTGATAGTTTAATATATGTGTAAAACTTTGGCACTGGGGTAGTAAGTAATTCCATATTAGTTTGTTTATTAGATGTATCACACTCAAGTTTCGAAGTCATGTGGTTATCATTGAAATGATTATGAACAATAAATTTTGTTCGAAACGTCATCCAGTAAATAATACTGTTTCACTGTGTGATACTTCTAATAAACAAACTGATATGGAGCCGATAGCTCATTGAGAAGCCTTGAATGAAGATTATCAGGACCCATTAATTTCCCTGCATCTAGTTTCATTAGGCAGTTGAGTACGATGTCTTGGTCGACATCAACGGAATCTATCCCGTGTTCCTCTGATGCAACCAGATCTGATTCTATGGGGAGTGACTACCCCTGTGTAAAGTAGTCTACCACTGCTTCTGCTTTTTCTTGATCATCTTCGATTGTGTCATGTTTTATTCCTGAAGTTCATGTATGAAAAAATTTTCTTAAGTTGTGCCTTTGCATTTTGAGCCAGATGTGCTTCGAACTTGTTCCTTGATTGGCGGATTTCCGCAATAATTTTATTCCTAGCAGTGTTGTATAATTTCCTGGTCTCAGGAGTCTCAAATGTGGCAAACAGGTTCCAACATTTGTGTTTGCGTCTGTGCAACTTACGAATCTCTCGGTTTATCCAAGGGGGCAATGTTTCCAACCCTTTGGGACACACCAAGGGATGAAAGGTTCAGTTACTTGGGCGTAAAGTTGTTTAAATTGGTTCCATGTGGCTTCTTGGGACTCTGGGTTGATGTACCAGTTCACTGAGTTGGCTGCTGAGACGATCGCATTTATATCAGCTTTCCAAACGTTTGGTCTAGCTGGGGTTTTGGCCTATGATGCTGTTGTTGTGAACTTGAAAGTGAGCTCAGCGTGATGACTTATTCCTAAAGAAGGAAGATGTATGAGATCCACATCCTCACTATGGGAAAACACTAGGTCCAGAGTGGAAGAGGAGTGCTGTGAGTCATAGCGCGTGGGCTTAATGACAAGTTGGACAAGGGCTAGCGAAATGTTAGATTCCAACAGTCCATGATCAAAGGAGTTGTCTGAAGATGGCGTTGTAAGGCTTGTCCAGTCAACTGTTGGGGCGTTGAAGTCGCCGACTACGAGAGTTCGACATTTCGATGTCCAGAAGCCTAGTTTCTCTATTAAGTATTCATCCTCATCGCAGTCAGGACTGCGGTATACAGCAATGAGGTCAATATCTTGGCCTATACATTTAAGTCTGCAGCGTAGAAGTTCGGCTTGGCATGTTATCTTTCTACTCTTTTTTAGTATTGTTGTAGCGATCGGTTTCCCTTGCATAAGAAAACAAATCACGTGTGTCGTTGTAAATAACACCCATTATTTCAGACTCATAGATCTAGGTGTCTTGGCATGACCAATTTATCATACGAGGAAAGACTAGACAGTTTGAATCTCTTCCCCTTGTCATACCGTAGACAGAGAGATCTTACTACAATGTTTAAAATTTTAAATAATGACTGCGGACCTGATGTACTTTCTCTTCTCCTCTCTACCAGGTCGGAACACTTCAGAAGACAGCACGAGAGTTCAAAAGCCAAGGAAAACTAATATCTCTGTGGAGTACTGGTTCTCACACTGAGTCAACAACTCCTGGAACGAACTTCCAGAAGAAATGTAAGCGTCCTCAGTTGATTCATTCAAGAAGGGTTAGGACAACCCCAGAAATTTACTAGAAACAGATTAACATAGGCTTCAAGCCATCTATTCTCAATCAACCAGTCTGAATATTTTCCGGAAATGTCTTTCACATCTCCTCTTCATCTCCCATATAAAATTTTTTTGGGTCAAACTAATATAAAAATTTCGGGGGGGGGGTCAATCTAGGGGAAATACTTCCAGTTTCCCCCCGAATCCCTAAAAATCCATGAAACCCCTAAAGTTGCCCACTAAGTTTCTCCCTTAAAGCTCCCTAAATTCCCCGGAAATCTTTGAATTTCTTAAGAAGACCCAAACTTGTTTATTTCGACTGTTTGAGACCAGGTTTCACAAAGTCTGTTGAGGATCTCAAAACGCACAATGGATCTCATAGGAAGAGGAAATAAAACTATTTCATTCTGTGTTTATATTCCATGTCGTCCCCTATGATCGTACGGTTGGGAGGTAACTCATGCATGGAAACATTTTATTGCTACAGAAATAAATTTTCGCTCAGGCACGACAATTTACTGTAGAAGGCATCGCTCTGTCCTCAAAAGCTCGATTCTTAAGCAGGTTGCCGCCCTGGTATTTTTGGCTACAGCTGAATCAGATTTTGATTTCATTGGCTTTTACTGCTTAGTGGGCAAGCTGAAATCAGTGTGGGTGCCTTGTAACATTTTTGATCACACTCGGCATACTGTTGTAGTACATCACTCCGTTATTGGAAGGTGTTCAGTTAAATGACGGCGTCAGTTAATCCGCTCAACATTCTGCGATGTATAAGCAACTAACGTAGGTGTACAATGACTGTGGGCCCCGTGAGAGCTGCGGTAGTCTGTCGCAATGTTTTCCGTTTTTTATGTTACTTGTGAAGATGTCTTAACATTTATGTGTGAACTGTGTTATGTTGATCACTTTTGTTATTTGGAGATTCTTTTTTTAGCCATGGTACACTTTTATTTGACTATGCTGTAGGCCGAATGCAAATGTTTGTATGACATTTACCAACCTGCGTCGCAAGTGTAATCAGCGCATTGCGTTAATCATACGAACTGTGAAATTTCGTAGAGCTATTTTAAGACGACCTCAACCACTAGTTACGTCATTATATGCTGTAAAGTTCTTTTGCTTAGTTTGGTATACGAGGCATCACTCAGTTGTTGTAGAGATTCTAAAATCGGAGTTACATGTGAATATAATAAATAGTTTGTTTTCTTTTTCCTTAGAAATTTCTTGCCCAATAAGGATTCCGATATGGTTATCACAGAATCAAAAGATGATGCGGACCTTTCCTCAACTTTGGAGATGTTGTGCGCACCTAAAAAGCTGGATCGTGAGAAAGGGGAAGAACGCTTGAATACCATGTCACTAAGTGTTGACGAGGTGAAGTTAGTGTCTTGTTGGATAGAGGAAAAGTTGGAAGGACTTTCTAACTGGGAAGATGTAAGCCATTACTGAACGTAATTTTTTAAAATTAGGTATTTGGTGGGATCACTGCAGCCATTATTCTGATTCGTAATGTGGATTATAACTTGCTCGTTGATATCGGCCTTATAAATAAGTTAGAAAATCAGGTGGTTGAATGCCATGAGAACATTGAGTTTCGTGTTCGAATAGCTGCAGGTCAACTAATGGGTTCTCTTTGCTTACGCGCCGGATTACCTTTATTTCTTCGCTACTTACCTGCTGTGATTCAAGGTGTCATCACTAATTTAGAAAGAAATACTGAAGCTGCCGTCTCTGAGGCTGAGTTGTCCATGAAAGAACTGGATATGGCCAAAGTAAGTAAATTGTCGTCCTATTTCATGAATAAAATTGCTTTGTAGGAACGTGATGTCGGTCTAAGCAGGAGTTCTTTGTCTATTTTTCATGATACCGCTGGCTGGAAAAACCTGGAAACCTGGATGAAATGTTTACAAGAAATGGTGTGTAACCTTCCAGCAGATGAATTTGTCAAAGTGGATAGAACCGAAATTGTAGAGATAATATTTACAGCTGTTCAGCATGTGAATCGCTTTGTTCGTGAAACAGGCTATGATGTGTTGTGCACAATGATTTCACGAAATGTATGCTATAAAGGACCCGAATCAAATGAGGCTAACTATATCAAAGTCGCCTCTCAGTTGGTCCAGGGTTTATCAGATAATTGGAGCCAAGTAAGTGCAGATATTACAGACTTTTGCCTGTGAAATTATGTTACTTACCTAAGGCATGTTGCATGGGTTTGAGTCAGGAGGCAAATACCATCCCCCACTCATGTTTTTTTCTTCATTAGTAGTTGTCATCGCGCTCCAGTTAGTTTTGTCGAACTTTCAGTCATACTACACGTGTGCTATTACTTTTTCGTTGAACTGAAGAGAAAGTATCTGGTAATGCATTAAAAATAAGGTGAAAAATTTCGATATCGGTGTGTGTCTTGTACATCAGTTATATTGAAGGTAATACACAACAGGGATTTCTTCTAAAGATTATTGTGTGTGGACTTCTTGTAATCGGCAGAATATGACTGGTTTTCACTGTCTTGTTAGGCTACGATACTGACACGTTGCGCTACATAGCCTCTCCTGAGGAAGTCCTACTCACTGCCTTCACGTGGCGGTGTTTTTCACCAAAGTGAGAGGGCGAAAGCGGATGCCCGGCGCTCTTCACCGGGTTGACTGTCTATTGGATGACAGTCTAGGGGAGATGGCTAAACCCTGATTCCAAACCTCCAACGACTGGCGTATGAAACTCACTGGAGCTTACCGGCAGACGTATGGACAAAGGGCTTGTTGGATTTCCTGGATGTCTGGCCCCATTCAAAAAGGCGTATAAACCGAACTCCGGTCACCGGCTGCCAATGGATAGTGGACTTCCTACTCCACTCCTACTGCCTTGTAGGTCACACTTGGTTGTGTAAAGGCTAGAGCTGCACTCTCAAACAAAAGGCCGAGCGATTCTGGGGACATCACTCGTACCAAATTCCCATGAAACTTCATGAACTCTCTTTGTCAGATCGCCGCGCCTGGGCAGCGATGATTCAAGATGTTCATGAAGCCGGCTCATCCTTCCGTAGGAGATAGCCGAAGTAGTGTGACACGTTGTTGTGCATAGTCTCACTCATATCAAGCTCAAACTAGTGTTAGGAAATGAGTCTGTATTTTATGCCTAGATAACTACAACTGGATTACTTTGGTCATTATATGTTCCCAATTTTTCTCGATATCTGCATTATTTATAGATAACTGATTGTTGAAAATACTTCTACGAATACTATGTTTGGTATCCCTGATCTTTCGAGTGAATGTGAAATACAGTTTGTCAAACTGTAAGAGATATTTGTTTAGTGTGTATAACGTGAAAAGACGTATTTGTAAAGAGTTGCTCTAACTGCACCATTCAAATACCAGAATTATTAAAGGTTAACAGTAATATTGATGACAAGAAAATATGCCTCTAAATAATACAATCATTTGATTCTACCCTTATTAGACTGTAAGTCACACATTAATTGAGGGCTTGTTATACTATCCAGTCATCCAGTTGTGAGTAGATGGGCGGAATCTATCGGTTGAAAGTTGAAGGCTGCAGCAACTAGACGCATCACCTACTTCTAAACCTAGGTGGTTATTTTATTTTAATTGGAATTCATTCACGCACATGGTCCGGGGTTCGATCCCCGGCCGACGCACTCCTTTACTTCGCCAAGCCAGAAATAAAAGCTGGTAAAGAGAGAAGGTTGGGTATGAGACTAGCAACCCCATCCTGTAAAAATAAACACTGCTACAGAAACTTCGTAGCTCTAGCTTGAAGCTGTATGTTCCACTGGGAACGTGAAGGAATAAGTAAAAAAAAAACTTATCTCAGTAGGATTATCTCAACTGTTTGAAGGAAACAGTCTGTAGCTACTCACGGCGGTCAGTAACACTTCGGTTTCTTTTTTGCTGTGAACTGTGCTTACAATAAGCCTGTTAGTTATGGACTTATCAAATGAGGATTTCTAGTTGCTTGTGGATTGTAGGTATTAAAATCTTACTGGTTATTTGGGTTTCAGATTCAAATCATCCGTGGGTACGTTTCTGATGGTGGACCACACTTTAAGGCCGCTAACGGATGAATTTAATCGAGTGGAGGTGTGGCTTGTTGACTTAGCACCTGATTTATAACCAATGGGTCCAGGGTTCAAGTCTCATCCTACCTATTTCAACCTGGACTGTTGAGTAGTATTATCAGCCGTCATGTGTAAACGTCATAGCCTGGTACATTAAATATCTCTTTCGGGTAACTAAGTTCAAACAAAACGTAATTTAATGGTATCGAAAAACTAAATAATAGACTGTATGGCTGAGGTCTTCGAAGAGCTAAGAACTATTGTCTGGAGACTGTTGGTGATGTGGTTCAAAATCATTGTCATTGGCACACTCACCCCTTGTGATCTGAATCCATTAAACTTCCATTACTATTCACGTAATTTTCTCCGTCCATTATAGTTTCTTTGTCTTTTTTTCTCTCTATCTTTATGTTTGTTATATGAAGTGTACTAACTTGAACTGCTGCATTTTTGAGCGAAGTTCTACATCAAAGATTCAGTTCAGTTTCAGTGTCGAGAAACTTTAGTATCTGCAAAGCCAGAACAATAAGTTTGTGAAAACATTGTCGAGTGTGGTTTGCAATAGGTGTTTTATGGAGCAGACTCACTTGTACCTTATATTTTATACGAAACTTAACACTATCATTTCAAACCTAATAATCATCAACTGCTTTCGTGCTCGTTCAGTTAGTCACCAGTCTTTGTGATTGTTAAAGGCGCTTCAAGTTATCTACTAGTTTGCTTAGTGATTTTAGCCTTGTTCAATTTTGGACTTCAACGATAGGGATTACGAACTATTAAAATGAAATTTTGCGACTTCTCTGTGAGATTTTATATCCAAAGGAAGTGTTTTTCTTTTTTTTCGGAGATTGGTATGATGTGTTAGCTGTATTTAAAAGAAGCATGTTTTTGTAAATGACAAAATGCCTACAACTGAGAAAACTGGTTATTTCCCCCTAACTACTATCCTTATTAATTTATACAATCGCAGGTTCGTATGGCCGCTTCAAGAGCAGTGCGAACATTTTTCGAGGTTAGTCCACCTCCTGGGTATTCAAGAGATGACGTCTATCCTATACTTTTGCCGGCTATGTGTTTGAATAGATATTACGTTGCCGAAGGCGTTCGAATCTACAGTCAGGATACATGGTGTCGTGTAACCCAGGGAGAAGGTCGGAAGCTGCTTGGTCAGTTTTTGTCTCCAGCTGTTGACTACTATATTAAGCAAAGTGATGCTGATAATCATGCGGTAAGTGACTGGTATTTTTTTAAATAACATATTTTAACGGAGCTGTTAAGTTTTTATCAGAGGTGCGAATATAACGGTCTAGTGTAAAATAGCTTCAGATTTCTATGCTAAAGCAAACACTTTCTATAACTGACAATCCTTGATTTACATCCCCACGTTTCACTGCTGCAATGATTATGAATGAAATTCGTGGTGGACTGGATTATGCGTCAGACTGTGGGGAGTGAGAAGACAGGTATACGTTGGATCGACCGATAGGAAGACTGTAGAAGATCTGGATTTCACGTGTGGATGACTTATGTTTAATGTCACACAAACTCGAAGACTTGCGGGCAAAAACCAACAAACTGGCCGAAGAAACAGGCAGCGAGGACAGGACTGCAGAAACAACAACCAGCACCAATCACCATCAACGGTGGAGATTAAACAGAGGTTACCTCCTTCACTTATCTAGGTTGCACGGTCTCAATCACAGACGGAACGGATGAAGACGTCAAAGTCAGAATCAGAAATACGAGATACTCACTCACCAGTTTGGAAATCTGCACTCAGCCAGCATAAACAACAAGATTCGAATTTTTAACACAAATGTGAAGAAAATAAAAGACAAATTCAGCGAAGAAGATTTTCTTTATCGACGAAAACATCTTCAGAGGCTGTACAGTCGTATTTATATTTACCAAAAATGTATAGTAGTCTGTTATTTAGTAATAGGGGGTGACATAATTGATATAATTACTCAGAAGTGGCTTTAGAAGTAAAAAAATAAAAGTTGTAAATTACGTGTTACTCAACAGCACAAAGTTAGAAATTTGATAAGGTTAAAATTGCTATTGAGTGAGAATAAAGGCAGTTAAGTGTCAATTTAACAAGTGTGAAGAGGGTGTGAAAATGTACAAAAGGAACATATGAGGGTGATAAAATTGAAAATTAAAATTTTTTACAGGGAACGACTAGTGAAGAGGTTAAGACCAAGGTAGAATAAGAGACTGGCCAAAATTTTTCTGTATACAGAGTTCGGGGTTGCCAGCGCCTCCGCCTAACACAAAAGCCGAAACCTGACGCCCTTTGTACCATTTGGCCTCACCTTGTAGATGATCTTGAAAGACAACCCTGGTGGAGCTACTTGGCATGAGTTCACCAAGTGCTCGAGAATTGAGCTAGTAACTGTCTTGCATTATCCTTTTGCTAACCATGCCGGATAATGTGGAGATGTGTTGTTAAAGCCCTATGTTCCACTGGGAACCCAAGGGAATAATAATAATGATTACTTTGGTAACCATCGATAGAAACTTTCAGGAAAAGGATATGAAGTAGATTTTAATTTTTCACTACCCTTATTTGTGTACTATGATATTGTAAAGGTTTTCTGGTATGCTGTTAGAAAAACACTTACTAAAATATCGAAAAGGTAGATAGTATGTTGTTTCATAAACAACTAGTGTGTTATCTTAATTAGCAGATAGATGCACATCAGCATGAAACATTAAGTTATTGCATTGTGGTTTGCACTGTCACACTTCATGTCTGCTCATTCAGCAGATTATAGAAAGGGAGACAAATAAAAAATAAGAGGGTAAAAGGTGTGTTCAAGATTTTATGTTGTATAGCTTTTATGCTTTTCGTACAGTCCAACTCTGTTTAAATAAATGTCTCCATTATGGATTTTCTCAAGTACTTTTATCTCACTAGGGCTTAGTTGCCTTGATGAGAGGTTGATCACCCATTTTGTTCTGTCAACAGAGGATGAAACGCTGATGTCAGTTTCATTTATTGCGTTCTATGCTCTACCACAGTGCCCAAGTTTTATACTTATGTCTGTTTAAATGGCTATTATCGACAAATATTACTATCTTTAGCTTATTATGCTTTCATCACGACCTGAAACTTATGAAAGCATTACTAGAAACCATGGAAGCCTAAAAGATCGTGTCATTCCAGTCTTGAACTTTCCGGAAGTGCATACTGAGTACTCCTTCTTTTTTGGTGGTTCTCTGGGTTACGTTGGTTCTCGATGAAATATATATACCTTGGAGTCAATCAAGTATTTACATACAACGTCTGCTTATCAGGAACTAGATTCGAAATCTTAGCTAATCAGATTGATTTTCAGTTGCATCTAAGCTACAGGACTTACGAAAAATAAACAAATAGATTCAAATCTAGTGACTTGTATTTAATTCTTTTAGTGGGGTCGTTGGTGCTCATTGCTGGAGAGTTTCAAATCAAAACAGAAGAGGTGTTCAATGCTCGCTAATTTACAATAGTTTTCTAACTGGTGTTTGTTTTTAATGAAGTCGGCTTTCAGATTTATAAAATCCTCACAGATCTAACATCTAATTTTCATATTTCAATGTCAGCCATCACCGGTCGTTAGTGTTATGAACCAATAAATGAGTTCCAGCATCTTGTGACAAATTATTTCCATACGAACATCCTGACTGACCTATACAAAATGTTCAGAAACGTACTACTATTTTATTCCTAAGGCGTATCCGCAAGTTAGTTGAACACTTGTAGTAGTATCATGAACTCGAATTTGATGAATTTTAGACATTGTTATTAAGGGAGAAGCACACTATTTATGGAGATGGATGAATGGAATATTTTCTTATTTCTGCCCATATGAAGGTAACGTCTTGCACCAAATATTTACATCCTTAGGTATTGACTTCGTATTGCCCCTAGCTTTATTTTAATTTGATAAGGAGTGTTGACTTAACATTTTCATGTAACATTGGAATATCAACATTAAAAAAAACTTTCTCTCATTTTGTTGTACATCCTCCAAAAACGTGGTAGCTAAGTGTTGTGAAGATTAGTGATCGTTTTCTCTTGTGTTTTTTTCAACCTCAAGGTTCGTGAAGCTGCTTGTGCTTCTATGGCTGAAATTGTAATGAAACTGGATCCACAATTACTACTTCCGTTTGTTGATAAACTTTTAAACGCCCTATTGGTATGCTTTGGAGACGAAAGTTGGCCAGTAAGAGACGCTGCTTGCGTTGCACTAGGCACTTTAATTTCCATTTTTCCTAATGAAACCCGAGCTGCTGGACATAACGACTTAATGGCTGAATACTTTCTGCGTAATCTCGGTGACAGCATTCCTTCTGTACGACATGGTGCTGCAGCGTCTATTGCTCAAATTTTGAAGTCAGTCAATGATGACCAGACTTTAACAAATGTAAGTTTCGTTGTCATTTTGTACAACTGTCTTTATTTGTGAAACAGTATGCTTCAAACTGTGTTGCTTTCAAACAAAATAAACAACGATCGAGGCAGAGTAAAATGACAGCATTTTACTATATATTTTCGTCAATATCTCACAACGTATATATAATGAATAAAGCTTAAATTTATTATTATTTTATTTATTAAATGTCTACCATGCTTTTTGTCTTTAAATCATAGATGTCTACGATCTCTTTCTCACGTTAGGTGGCATAATAAGGTAAGTAATGTTGACGTTAGGCGTAGAGTTTTGGGCAAAGAGGGGAAATCAATCGAAGAGGCTAAAGAGTTACATAGATTGAGATGGCTAGGTCACGTGCTGCTCATGCTTAACCATTGCCTCCCCCGACGGGCATTACTAGCTGATATAGATGCAGGTTGGAAAAGAGTAAGTGGTGGCCAAACAAAAACATGGCCTCATCAATCCATGAAATCCTTAACAGGTAGGGAGATGCAGACTTCCGGGCTGGGGCCCTCGGGACTCTAAGAATCAATGGCTGGAGACAATAGGTGACATGGCTCAAAATCGTTGTCAATGGCTTACGCAGATGTATTCAGTCTCTGTAATCTTTCATATTCCTTTCTACCATTACTCATTCTGTTTCACTCTTATACTTGTCAAAACTGTATTGATTCTCTTCACTCATCTTCTTGTCTACCTTTGTGTGCTCTTTGGAACGTGGCAACTCGAACTGCTGCACTTCGGTGCCAAGTTCTATGTTGAATCCAGACAGACAGACTTTAAATAGCGAGCATAAATTTCACAAGAATGTTAAGTTAATTTCACTCGTCAAAAGGAAAAAAATCTGTATAGGCTGGAAAAGGTGAGAAGTTTGGAATAAGGTTTGTTATTATTGGGGAACGCTGACAAACTGCATTTTGGTTGATTTCTTATTTAAACCGGGAGTAGTGACTAGTATTTTGAAATTTCTTTAATGAGTTAAATATCTTATGCTTAACAAATTTCATAAATTCCATCCATATTCTGTGGCACCAAAACATGAGAAAATGCCAAATAGTTAGTTGTTGTTAGTGTTTCTCTGAATGTAACGTGTTTGTGTGTCAAGTAATTTTTCTCTATTTATAAACACCACTTATATTAAACTTTTCAAACTTCTTTTTTAAAGCTCTATATCAATTATATTAGTGAGAAAATTGATGGGTTAAGCAAGCAGCCTAAGGAATCACATGGTGCAGAGTCTAGTCGTCTATCTGGCAAAGGACCTGGTGCTTCTCATGTCACTGTCCATAGTGGAGATGCTGCTCATGACAGTCGTCATACTAATCAAGTCATGTATTCTTGTGGGTCACTGGCACCTAAATTGCAAAAAGGCAAGTGAATTTCACTTTATTCATCGTCTTTCAAACTATTCATCTTTGATTTTAGTCCCAGTAAACTACACTTGTTGTTGAGGTCTTTTATGTTTTTACGCTTTATCCCTGTTGCAGCACAGAAAATATAAAAACATCCAAGGGAAAGGCAAAAAACAAAACAATGCTTAAGTGACTCACTTGAACAGATACATTCAGCATGCTTTCCTCACTCTTGTCTCAAAGTGGTAGAAGACATGAAAGAGCCGTGTGACACTCGACTATTTTCAACTCTGATATCACCTTAGGCTGTAGTTGTAAAATCTTTATCCAGTCAGATCATTATGCACTGACGGTTGCCTGACTCAATGAGGTATTCTTTTCTCCTCGCCTATTTTGACTTTTCGCCTATCTGTAAAGTCGATATGAAGACTGCTGTGCTATGCTGAATTCATCAAACTGGGGGGGGGGGGGGGAGGTGTGGTCTTTAGAGTTTAACTTATAGTTTCTACCATGCTCAGGTAGGTACACCACATGAACCTAAGTAATGAAAGACCTCTATGTCGAAATACCTTTTTTGTTATACCTTGCATTCTGAAAAGAATAAAGGGCCTCAAGGTTTGAAGATTCACTAGTGGGGATGTTGTTCTTCTGGCTAGGGTTGCTAGCCTTACGCGCTCACTCTTAAGTCTTTTCCGGGTGTACTACCGGCTATACTCTATTTTTTGGTGATTTTGAGTATTTTGCAACTAACTATTCATTTTTTGACAGTTGTTTGAAATGTATGGTTTGAATCTCATTTATTTGGTTAATCACTGAAATGCAACCGATGTTGAACAATGTAATGCACTTTTTTGATTGCACACTAGTCAGTAACTAGTGTAATGTGTCTAGTCCTATCTTCGCTGCAGACTGAATTCTATCAGTCAAGCTTGCAATGTGGCCACCATGCTAGGTGGCTCGCAATTACGGTGCACTGTGAATTGTTGGTATTAGATGGTTGGGGGCAATCGACAGGAAGCCTTGGATCTAGGTTTCGTGCTAGTTGGCACTCATCAGCAACTTCGAAGGAACTCATGTCCCTTCTGAGATTCGAACCCGCGTCACCCAGTGAGTACTGCAGTCAGAGACGTTACCACTGAGCTATTCAGGCTCGCGATTGACCTCCTGTAGGACTGTAATGCACTTTTAAGTAAGTTTATGCGGTTTGTTTATTGGTTTTCGTCAATAAGGCATGTTTTCAACCTAAACGAAATTAGAACCCTTTCAGGAGCATTCAAATTCTCTCCTCGCACAGTACTGTTATCTTAGGCGTTAAAACAAAACCCATTAGGTGGTGATCAAATGGATCACCGTCCACTTTGCATAATATTCAGGAATCTTTTTTTTAAAACGACTAATTGATGATTCCTTGCTTATGTTAATTATTTTTTGTATTATAACTGCCATGTAAAATTGTCATGTAGTTGTTTTAGTCTCAAAGTTAGTTAAGTGTACAGACAACTATCAGTCTTCGAATTCTTATGGCAGCAGCTCATCAATGCGCTTATGTTCTTTAATATGAGGTGAGGCCTAATTATTTGAGTATAAAGTTATTATGTAAAGAAGTACTACTACTAGAGTGATGTTGAACTCGGTTACTCGTATTTCTCTCTGATAATCTTCACCATTCGTTGCATATAATTTTTTCCATAGTTGAAATAGTTTCTTATGCTAGCGTTAGTTACTACGTTTAGCGTTTATTGTCACTTAGCCATTGAAATGTAATTCTTACTTGCAAGTAAAGCGCCACTAGAGAATGGACGAAAAATAAACGACCAGGAAGATGTACGTACAGTATATGAAAATTAAGTCTACTGCACTTATTGCTCAGTTTATGCTTTCCAAATAAGTGTGAACATAACAATGTGTATTTCAAATCATACAAAAGTAGAAATATGGGTTGATTTTGTTTGGTAGTGTGGAAAAACTTTTAAATCCCACTGGCTTATTTTGTAGTTCGTTTATTCTTTTCATCAAATGATATTTCATGCATTACTTATCTTATTCACTCCTAACAAATTTTGTAAGCATACTAGTTCAAAATATCTTCATATAGTTTGTTTTTTTAACCCCGATAAACATTTAGGTCGGAAAGGTGGTGGTTGTCATGATGGTTTAAATCAACGTCCTAGTGAACCTTGGGAACAAGCTGATGGAGCAATACGTTTGATTGGTCAACTGGCTGAATTTTATCCAGATCTTGTTACAGATGTTATTATTTCCCAACTACTAAAAGGTGTTGAGTATCAAAATTATACTCATTATCCATACTTCTTGGAAACTGGTGAGTATTTTTTTTTGTTTATCATTTTATAGAGTACTTTTCACACTGTTATGTGTTTTAAAAGTAGTGTCCAATTTTTATGGAAATGTTGACTTTATTAATAGGTTGGTGGAGGTATCTTCTAACACAAAATGATTAGAAGCTGTATACTGTTCATAATCTTTATAATCCTAGTCTGCCTAACTAACAGTACAACGTTTGGTGATAATTGCCGAGTGATTAATTAGCGTGAAACTGTGTAGAGAAGTGGAACAATTCAAGTTGTGAAACACATCACAATAACAACAACAACCGACAAAGAAATAGTTTGATATATGATTGTCAGGACAACGAGGCTAATATAATGGAAAAAACAAGATGAACAAACTGTATGTACAGTGAACAACTGTGATTTGTTATCAAGATCTTTCAGAAGACTCCAACCACAATCTTTATCTCTCAAGATGATTCAGGCTAACCCTTTATAAACTTCATAGATTCAGTTATCTTGATTTAATAGTGACTAGTGACTAACATCTCATCAAGTTGTGTTCCTGAAACGTAGCGCAACGCTATTCTAACTTACGATGCGATGAGTATTAGACTCTGAAAATATAGATCGATATCCAGTCCTATTGTGGTGCCATCATGCTTTAGCAGCAAAATATTACCCATAAATGAAAACGATACTAGATTTGATTGCATGGAGGATTTCATCATGAGCTGACATCAATTAGAAAACCAGTGGAAAACCTGGGAGTACGGGACGGCTGTTTCGTCCTAGTTTGGGACTCTTCATCAGTAGGCGCCCACCGGGGATTCGAACCCAGGACCTTCTGGTTACAAGGCGAGCTCGTAGACCATTGAGCCACTGGGACCCGATCCAATGGTCATTGAATTCTAACTTCTGCCAATTCACGACATAGCGCGACCATTTCGCAACATCTTCTTCGATGAGTTACTGCCTTATCTTCAACCTGTTGTACCCTACAAAACCAATACTTGAAGATACTAGATTTAACTCGTCGTTTCATGATTAATAGACTATTCGATGATATAGGGGAATATGAGTAAGGTGGGTCTCACTTACTATTAATTCATGTTTTGTTATGTGTAACTGGGCAACTGATGCGTAACATTTGTCACAAATACAAAAGCTTTTGAAACAAGGTGGCGGGGATTTTAGTTGAATTTTAAAATTCACTGGGCATATGTTTGGATTTGCTAAATCAGTTTTCCCATGTTTATTTTCGGATTTCATTTATTTGTTTTATCAGTAGTGACGTTAAGGAATAAAAAGTATAGTAAGTAGAGATAAGCAAATCTGTGCACCGAAATATACAGGCCAACGTTCTTTATTTAGGTCTAATAATGTTCCTGTGTGAATATGAATAAATCACTAAATCTGGTATACTTGTAAGTTGAATGTTTAAGCCTACTGAGATGTTTTTCAGCCTAAAAATAATGTTGGACTCCAGTGGGACAAAGGCGATTTCTGACCAAATATTTCTTTAATTTTCAAGAGTCGGTATTTTGGGATTTGATTTGTTTGAAGTTTGATCACGGATCGATATCAGTTAGAGAACCATTGAAGACCAGGGTGTATACTGGACAGTTGTTTCGTGGATATTGATGCCGGTCAGATCAACTCCAAACCAAATCAAATCCCTGCAAACTAACTCTTGAAGATCAATCTAATGCTCGCTAGTAACTGGCTACAGAACATAGTTGTCTGGAGTTCTAGTGAGAAGTGAGATCCACTGGGTCGAGTGTGGGGAGACAAATACTTCCTGATGACATTGGTTGGCGGTCATTTAAAAATCCCTATTTGACACGGGTTAGAATTCATGGGCCATGTGATTCCGGCCTAAGTGGCTGAATGGTCGACAAGCTTGGTCTCGATCCCCGGTGGGGTCGTACTGTTAAACAGTGCCAAACTAGGAAGAGACAACTGTCCGATACTCCCTGGTTTTCAGTGGTTCTCTAGCTGACATCGACACTTGATCAAACTTAAATATTCTTTACTTGGACGCTGATCACTAAATCAGTCAGCTTGTTATTATTTCTTACGATTTAATTCAATCAAATGATGTTGTTTCGTGCTAATAATTTAATTTTCATTATTTTTCTTCAGCATGTGATGTTATTGTTCAACTGTGCAAGTATCTTGAAAAGCCTAAGTTCAAAAAACACCTGGATTCGTTTTTAAGAGTGCTAGCATTTGCAGTGGAAAGTAAACTACCGCTTGCTGTCGGTGCTGCATCTGAAGCCTTGAAAGCTATCAGTAATCGTTTTGGTCCAAGTGTGTTACGTGGTCGGATTGAAGGTCATATCGATGCATTTGTCCCCGGGAATCTACTTGACTTATTACCACCTCCTGTATAATGTATTAAGTTTTTCAAATGTTTAACATCAATCTTCTTCGATATAAGTGAACTTGTATCATCCCTGTTTTTATTCATAAGTAATGGTGAAAAGAAAATAAATACTCGTTTGCATTTGTTAAACATTTTTGCATGTCATTTTCCCCTTGTTCTCCTTATAGTGGTAACAGTTTTAGGGTGTATTGTGACTAACTTTCATCTAATGTTTGTTGTTAGATTTTTAAAAAAACATATCAAGCATATGATTCTGTGAATGCAGTGAAACTGCAGGGCTACTAACAACGTTTGGTGACTGACTGTAACTTATTGGAGAGTAATATGTATCATTGCTAGACACCACGCGTTTGAAACTGAAATTAAGAAAAGACTTATTATGACTGATTCATCGGCATACCTGTTGCATTGATCATGAACAACTCGCCTGATCCAAAAGTTATATCTTCTTTATTCTTATTCAGTTAAACATTCTGGTTTAGTGTCGTCTTTGGAACATTATTTCACAGAATTTCTTTATTAGTACCATAATGTAAAACTAAAATATTTAATTTGCTGAAATACATTCCTAGGTTTTGCTGTTAATGCATTTAATCCTACTCCAAAAATATAGTGGAGGTATGTGGATGACACTTTCACAATGTTAAAAATAGAACATATATCTAGCTTCTTGACACATAAATCCACTAGTAGAGGGAATAAAATTCACATTTGAATCAGAAAATGAACAAGGAGAATTAGCTATGTTAGATTGTAAAATAAAACGAACAGAAGAAGGTAAACTGCACACTAGCGTTTGTAAAAAGCCAACGCATTCTAATAGATATTTAGACTTTAATTCATTTCATCCGTTATCTCTGAAGGCAGGCTTAGCTAAATGTCTAACAAACCGAGCAATAGCGCTAAGTAGTACAGTAAAAAACCTAAATGATGAAATGAAACAGATAGAAGAAGCGTTGGTATCAGATAAGCATCCTATAAAATTCATTATGAAGATTAGAAAAGGTCAAAAGCAAAATAAAAATAATAGTGAAACTAGTAATGATAACATGAATAAGAGCGCATACAAGGCATCTACAGTTTTACCATATAAGGAGGGGACATCTGAGACCCTACGTAGGATTATCAATAAAGCAGAAATCAGGGTGGCATTTAGAACTACAAGCTCTGTAGGCCAGAGGATCCGGTGGACCCAATTAAGCAAAATGATATAATTTACAAAATACCTTGCAATGACTGTGATTGAGGTCAAAATAGTAGATAAGGAGTAGTGAGATTATCAGAACATAAGAATTTAGCTAAGGTTAGAATGATTGATCCCACGAAGATAAGTAATTTGGAGAAAGACTCAGCAATCGAACTTCATGCATTAACACACAATAGGGTGGGACAGAGTCAAAATTCTAAAAAGTAATATAGGTAGGTAGGTGGAGAGAGAGATTGATTACTGAATTCTGCCTGGTTCATTGAGTCTACACCCAACACATGCGGTAGAAATGACTCAACGCAAATACCAGAGGTATGGAGGATATTATTAACAGTCAAGTCGGAGAATAATAAATAATGTTAAAATGTATTCAATTCATATTCTAACATCCTAACAAGTTATTTATTTTACTATAAGAACATCGTATTTTTCATCTTATTGTATTTTATTGATAACACTAATATTATTTCCAAATGTACTTTATCTTATATTGATTTTATTCAAATATCTAATCAATTTTTATCCGTGTATATAAATGAAGCAAGAAAGTTGTGTGAGTGACTTGATATGATAATGAGCAATAATTTGTGCTCGAAACGTGGTCTTCAGTAAATATTAATGTATAACACTGTGTGATTTTATCGAAATAAAATTTTATCCATAATGGGATTATACTCTACCACAGTGCCCAATTTTTATCCTTATATCGATAATTCATAGTTGGACCCTTACAGAAAGCTGATTTACAAACAAAGCTAAATTTACTCATTGGTGAAATTCGTGTATTCAGTGAAAGGCTATAAAGAAAAATTTGAGGTTAATATATCAGTATGGTGGTTGATTGGCCTAAGTAGTCGGTTTTCAACCGATGGTTCACAGACTCGAGTCCCACTCCACCTATCTCATCAGCTTGAGTAACTGGTTAGTATCATCAGCCGTCATACGATAAGTGTGGTCCAGTTTGGTACATGAGAAATCTGTTCCAGATAATTCAGCTTAAACAAACATGCGGGTGGTGAACAATTGGGAAAGGTTAACAGTAACAGATTGACTGATTTATTCCTGTGGAATTTTGCACAAACGTATAGTTGCTGATGGTGTCACACCGGAGTAGCACCTACTGAAGTAGGAAAAAAGAAATGTAATGAAGATGTTTGGGAGAAATAAATAAGTGAATTGATTTTCCGTAGTATCTAGAAGATGACAAGAAGCGAGTATGTCTGCACTATTGAGAACGGCTTTTTACCATGTCACTAACTATTTATTCGTAGGACCCCAGTTAGTCTCCCCATAAGTAGCTCAACGCAACAGTCTAAGAATCCATGGATTGATACGAATATTTCTGGTCTCACCAACTACAACCATTTTCCAGTCGAAGCTTCGACTGACGTAGCTTGTCAAAGGATTTAGAGACTTGGCATGCATGACACAAGTCCTAGCCATATGAATCAATACAGCTGCATCGACTGACTTCCCCTTGATGCCAAGCACTACCCTTAATTTTTCAGGATTACTAGTTATACTGCTTCATTTGAAAAGAGAAATGGGACGAAAGAATTTGTGGTCAGTCGTTTACTTTTCAACGACTATGCCTGACGGCAATAAAGTAAGATAGAGGAAACTTTTGCGCAGAAAAGGTGTTTTCTTTGATGAATATCTGCATACTGCATCAATCTTGAAGATGATGCAGTTGGCAAAAACTAGACAATTCTTTTCTATCTTAGCCTAGACACTGTCAGCAACTGATGCATTAGCACTGATTCAACTTCTCAAATAATTGAAGTCGTTAATAAATCTAACCGTTTCACTGTCTATTCTCAAACCAAGAGTGGATGCAGGCTAGTTTTATAGCATCATCTTGAAATAGGTAGGGTCGAATCGTATGCCAAACACAACTAGGATTTCAGGTGGAGTCGCTCAGATAACTATGTTTTCGCAATGTCTTCACTTAAACTGAAAATATTTCCTGCGTAGACTAGATAGAGCAGTTCAACATAGGTCACTGCATCTACTCAACAATAATGACAGTGAAGAACACTGCTGGTTGCCGTCTCTTCAGATGACAAGCATTCATAAGCTCTTACACGACTCGGTTAGTTCGAATAGAGCAGAGAGAAACAAATTCATCTGTATTGTTTAGTCACAAGGGAGTAACCAGTGTGATTTATCTAATTCTTAGTGTTGCTGGATGGATTATACTAGCGAGTGACCCATAGAACTTCATCAGTACCCTGAATTGGACGGAAAGACAGGTTTCTCCTTTGTGGTCATTTTATAAATTCGTAAATATCAAATCATGAAAATATTCTCAGTTAACGATTGTTTACAATTGACCTCGGAGATGTAGGTACATTCAGCTGGTGATTCCCATACAGGACGAAACACGGACATCGTGGATTCCACTGCTAGTAATCATAAACTAAGCAACATCGATCTTCCAGCAGGAAGTAGTCTCTGTAATCTTAGGACCTAAGTAGGTGGGGAGAAGCTGTGAAATAAAATCAGCTTCTTTTATCCCGCAAATTTTTACCTTCTTGTTAAGCAAGAGTATATAATTTCGTTATGTAAAAGCATAAATATCAGCCAAATACATTTGTTTATTTCATACAGTACTAGAATTTACAATAAAATTACAAAAGAAAAACTGACTAATATTTCTAATAGGAAACTGGAAATTAGTTATTTACACAACTGTTCATAATATGTGTGTGTGTTTATGGTACAAATCGAGTGTCTTCATTCTGCAGCATTATGTATTACTTATCAATGAAGCCGAAAATCAAGACAGTATTTTCATTTGCTCACTAGCTGTTTCATCACCTTGAACATCCGTCTTATCGATAACTGTTCTGACAACCTTTAACCATTTTAATCGTTGTGCCAATTCAATATCATCACTTGATTTCACTGAAATTGATTGTTCCAAGATGTCTAGAATTGGCTTTAACAGTTTTCTTTCATCTGCATCACAATCTAGGAATTTATCACTTTTTTTAGCCAACTGTTGTATAACATTCCACATAAAATCTCTATAAAATATAGAATATGAAAATAAAAGTAAATAAACGGAATCAAATTACAAGTTAGCTGAAGCACTATGAATATGAACAACAAAAGTTTAAAAGTATGACGGTAAGGGAGAGACAAAGTCTATTCATACTTCTATACTGTCTCATCTCGTAGATACACAACACAAAATTGATGTAAACAATATCTTCACAGTCATCTACTGTATACAGCAAATAAGCTTCATTTCACCTCAAGAGTTCGGCTATTACATATTGCTGAAGCTGGCTGTCGGAATCCACATTAGGAAGTCTAATCTATATATCCAACAGAAATTGGTTCAGACGCTTTCCCTACCTAGGCCATCAAGCTTTCAATGATCTTTAATTTGTTATAGAAACTTCCTTAATTTTATTTGACATTCTGTTTACTATTACATTTTTATGCTTATTATAACTTACACATCTTCCTTGAACTGTAATTTCATTGATCTTACTTAACAAATCGATAGTATTTAGAAAAACCCAATATTGTTGATGATGATTATTCTAGAATTTTATTCTTATTATTATTCCCTTGGGTTCCCAGTGGAACATAGACTTCAATAACAAATCTCCACTTTCTTCTATTCTCTGATGTTCTCTTCAGCTGGGTCCACGATTGCCCATAATCTCTCATCTTCTCTTCGCCAAACGATCTCCATGTCACCCTCACACCGACGACCCACTCGTCGTTTCCCATTGGGATTCCACTCGAGCGATAGCCTGCACTGCGCGCGATGTCATTCGACGGCCTCCATCTATCTCCATTTTCTCCGACACATTTGAGCGATCGGCTCTCAGTTGGTTTGCTCCCACAGTTTCTTGTTACTTATTCTTTCTGGCCATTTGATCTTTAGTATGCAGCCATCGAAAGCAGTTGTTGATAAAAGTCTGCAAACTGTTGGAAATCCTTTTCGTGACACGCAGTGCAAGTTTCTGACCTGTATAGGAGAACTGACCGACTTGACATTGGTGTTGAAAATCCGAATCTTGTTCCTTATGCTGAGTGCAGAAGATTTCCAAACTGGTTTCAGCCTGATGAAGGCATATCTTGCCTTTCCGATCCGTTCCATCTGTCGTTGAAACGATGCTTCCTAGATAAGTGAAGGAGGTGACTTCTGTTTAATCTCACCCGTTGATGGTGATTGGTGTTGGTTGGTTATCTTCATCGCCTCCGTCTTCTCTCTGTTCACTTGGAGTCCTGTCTTCGCAGCTAGCCTCTTCAGCCAGTTTGTTGCTTTTCACCCGTAAGTCTTCAAGTTTTTTGCTTCATCTGCAAAATCCAGATCTTCTAGAGTCAATTTTTCCCTTCACGTTCCCCAGTGGGACATAGGGCTTCAAGCTTGTGGCTTGAAGTTTCTGTAGCAGTGTTTATTTTACAGGATCGGGTTGCTAGCCTCGTGACCAACCTTTCCTCTTCACCAGCATTATTTCTGGCTTGGTGAGGTAGAGGAGTTCGTCGGCCGGGGATCGAACCCCGGACCATGTGTATGATCGGCGAGCGTCCTAACCGCTATGCCACCGATGCACTAGAGTCGATTGCTACAGGTATTTAACAACTATCATTCATCAATAAAATTCACACTTGAAAAGAAAAACCAAAGTATGAATAAACTTACACTTGCAAAAACTCATCTTCTTTCCATAAAATTGACAATCCTTTCGGTGCCCATTCCCATGATATTAAATGATTTTTCTCAGCATAACTAAACCAGTCATGTAGTGTATCAATTAATTTTGTCTTTTGTATCAATCGATCTTCTTGACTACCCCCCTTATCATTACTATCATTTTCATATACAGAAGAAGAAGAAGAAAATGTTTCAATAATTGGAAAAGACAATCTTACACTGTTGCTCAGGTTCATTTTTACAAGCTGTTTATAATTCTTTAAAAATGATCGATCTATGCGTGCTCCTGTACTATCATAAGAAACTGAAGTATCATTTTTTTGTATTTGTATTCGTTGACTTTAGAAAATCGTTATCCAATTTTTGAAAAATATGTAATACTTTTGCTGATGTATCCAGTGCATCAATTGGATTCAGTGTAGCATAATCGCATAGAAGGCTTGTTAATTGTTCAACAGTATCCAGTGACTTTTGTAGATAATAGTGAATTTCAATGTTCAATATATCATCTAATAGTCTACACAAGTAGCTGTATACAGTTACTTTTAATGTATTAATTTCTTTTAGTTGATTTGATGTGGGCAATTTCTTTTGTTGATTTTTCTTAGTCTTATCATCAGTGAATAGTTTTAATATATTTGTATAACGTTTCATTAGATATTCAACTAACAACTTTGATGAAATGATAACATTGAAGTATTGACAATACGTATTGTAATAACGTTGAACTAATTGACTATTAAGCTTTTGGTCATATTTTTCATAATAAAACATTAATTTACAATAATCATGAGTATAATGATATTTCATTTTACTACTAGAGAATAAAAATGTTCTATCTTCATAATGCGTTAGCAAATGATGAATTCGTTCACCTAGCTCAATATTGACTTCATTCAATGCACATTTCATGGCTATCGGAAAAAAGCTATAATCATCAATAGTCCATGCATCGAAACGTTTCGGTGAACCACCAGAATAAGTGTCAGTAATTGTTGTTGAATTTCTATTGACACTAACAGCATTATTGTTAAAGTAGACTTCTAAATCATCGAGAAATTGATTCAATAAATTAGAACACTTGTAGGATGCATATGTAGGTCGATTCATCAATGATTTCTTCCCAGCCTTTTCATTGATGCCATCTTTTGAAGTGATAGATGATTGTTGATTCACAGGAACTGGCGTTTCATAAATTAATAACAGTAAATTGGCTAGGGTACCAAGTTCTGGTTTTAAATTTAATCGTCTTACTTCACCTAATATGCCTAAACCAATTGGAACATAATTGTAATTGAGTGAAGAGGGGGAGGAGGAGGCTGGCGATGATGATGATGATGACGATTTCAACATCACAGTCGTCTGGGCCAAGGTATAGAGAATATTTGTATAGATTGAAATATTTATCGGCTCTCCACAAGTTTTCACATGTTCCAAAATATTCAAAATCACATCCCAAACATTTTCTTTGCCTGTTTTAACAGTGGTTAAACCATGCAGTGAACGAATAAGTAGACTGTAGGTTGCAATGTCAAGACATTTATCGCCGTATTTTGAAGACCATGCCATTTTTGCTACTTCTAAAGCACGATCAGCATTTTTAAATCTAGCCGCTCCACGAATAATACTACGATAGGCTTGTGGTGTGTTTAAAGTGGTATGTTCTTTGTGAAATAAACACTCGGCAGTGGTTTGCATATTCCAAATATTAGAATGTTTTGATAGGGAGGCAGTAGTAGGCTCGGTGATGTCGTCGACTTTGTCTACAGTCTCACTGTCTGTATCTTTTTGTCCAGTAGTACTTTGTGCATCATTAATTGATCTATTGAATATCATAAAGTTATCAGCAAGATAAACTTCATCAGGATCAGGTAAACTGCTCCAATTATAATCATCCAAGAGTAAATGAGAATAAAATCCACCTTCACCTCCATTTGTAACACACAGGAGATCTAATAGACGATGCAAAGTATCTGGTGTCCATTTATGATCCTAATTATTATTATTTTTTTAAAAGAAGGCATAAATGGAATAAAAAAAAAAGGTATAAACAAAGTCATTTTTTAAGACTTTATCACGTTACATTTAAGCGGTAAATCAATGGCATTATTAAAAGATGGAGTTTATCTGCCAAAAATATGTGATGATGCATATGCGTAAAACATTTCGAACAATCTGATCACATATTTACTTGTCAAATCAATTTATATGAAAAATGAAATGGCAATTAAAACAAACAAAAAGATTTAAGAATATGAATGGTAACTAATTAACACTACCAAGGTAGGTAAAAAGGGTAATAATAAATTGACTGATGAAGCCATGTTTTGGTTTGACCACCACTAGCCAACTCTTTCCCAACCTCATCGATCCTATGTCACCTAACATTGCCCGTCGACGAAGGCGATGGCTAGACTAGCATGCGTAACACATGTCCTAACCATCTCTCTCAATCAATCGTCGACTGATTTCCCCTCCTTACCTAGCACTCGATCGATACCTAACCTCAATACTAATCACCTATCGTGCCACCTAACACGGGAGATAGAACGGAGACACCTATGGTCAAACACAACTAGCCTTTTTCTGTCCTCCACTCTAAATGGCTAGGTCTCACAACTATGAACGAAGACACAGAGCACTGCTGAGCAGCACACACGTCCTTCGGTCGATGGCCGGATGTCACGTCTACGCCAAAGATGACGTAAGTTGGCAAATGCCACACAAGCATTTTGTATCCGTACTGAGATTTCGTCAGCAGTCAGTCTGTCGGGATTGAAGCAACTTCCCAAATAATTGAAGTGGTCAACACACTCTACCACTATCACTCCTGTCTATCTTTAAGCTAGGAGTCAATGTGGTCCAGTTCTGTAGCATCATCTTACATTTGACGGGAGCGAATCGCATGCCAAACATTCGAAGATTGCTGATGGGTTTTAAAATGGAGCCCATGAGAAAGCTAACAAGAAATGTTGTATATTCTTCTTAAAATCACTAAGAGTATAGAACCACTTACCCTATATATTTCTGCAGATCATAGAATAGTTTACGACTATTCTTTGATCGACATTTTGTCTTCCAAAATGATATCAGCTTACCTCGGGATTAATGAAATCCCCTAAAACCTGATAACTGAATATTAAATATTGGAGACCGACTTCCAGACGAATTCCCCAAAGCTTTGATGAAGAGTTGTAATACATGGAAAAACAACTACTTAACACTAGTACTGGGCAGTGGTTATACTATGTAGGATAAAGGAATAGTTCGGAGAAAAGTAACTAATGTGATGTGTCCAGAGTGAGGCCGTGTGGTCTGGAGCTTTTGACAGCCAAAATCTAGGTACTATCAGCTGCTCCGCAGTTAGTCGTTCTCGATAACTCTCCTAATTGATTTCAGTTGGTAATTCAATTATAAGCGCGATGTTTACCACTCTTGTATCAAGCGAACAGAAACTTGCTCCTCATTCCTTTGAGTCCCAAGTGGAACATATAGCTTCAAGCTTAAGATATGAAGTTCCGGTAGCGGTGGTTCTTCACTCCCAACCTTCTCTCCTTACCAGGTTTACTACCACTGGCTAGACGAGGTTTAGGAGTGTGTCAGTTGGCAGTCGAACCCAGACCATAAGAACTTTATTTGAGATAATTATGACGAAATGATTGTTAATCAACTAATGAATTAAGTTTGTACTTACAGGAGCTATATCATTGTACAATTTCCATGAATGTTTAGGAGCCAGAAGTAAAATCAATCGATCCATCGCTTCATCATTACTTAATGATCCATCGACAGCACGTTTTATTATGTCATCTGGAGTTTGTATTGGTACCCAACGGTCTATGCGTGGAGTCTAAATAGTAGTGAACAAATAAATATAAGTTAGTAAATAATTTGTGAAAAACAATGCTACCAAACATTTCCAGTAAATATACAATAATAATAATGCTTTATTTGAGACAATATGTGAACACATAGTACAGAAATTTACAGCGGATGACGCGGGTTCGAATCTCAGAAGGAACTTGAATTCCTTCAAGGTTACAGATACACCTTGCTTGATTAAAACAATAAGAAATGAAGAAGAATTTAAGCATTTTGATGGATGGAAATTCTGGTAGCTCAGTGATTTAAGCGGACCGTTGGTTCAATATTCGAACATAGTAGTAATTAGGTTTGTGTAGTAGTAGGCTAGTAGCGTCGGAGGCATAGCGGTTAGGACGCTCGCCGACCATGCACATGGTCCGGGGTTCGATCCCCGGCCGATGCACTCCTTTACCTCGCTAAGCCAGAAATAAAAGCTGGTGAAGAGGAAAGGTTGGGCATGAGGCTAGCAACCCCATCCTGTAAAAATAAACACTGCTACAGAAACTTCAAGCCTCCAGCTTCAAACCCTATGTTCCACTGGGGAACGTGAAGGAAAAAAAGGTAGTAGGCTAGGCATCATATTTAATAGCATGAATGAAATATAATGAATGAAACCTTGATAAGCATAAACTGGGCTTTCAGTTCACAAACTGGTATTCATAAATCATTGCTCATACACACGTTGCATATATCAACAGAGAAAGGATACGTCACCACAAAAATCTGGACCGAGATGTCCAAGCCGTTATCGATTCTTAGATAATTCATTGAAAAGAATTTCCTTTATCGACGAAATCATCTTCACAGGCTGTTCAGTCGTATTTTTATTTACCAAAAATGTCTCTCAGTCTATTATTGATCAAGAGAAGGGGATGACATAATTACTCAGTAGCGAATTCAAAAGTAAAAGTTGCAAATTACGCAATACTCAACAGCACAAAGGAAGAAAGTGCTAGAAATTTGATAAGGTTAAAATTATTATTGAGTGAGAAGAAAGGCAGTTGAGTGTCCATTTAACAAGTGTAAAGAGAGTGAGAAAATGTACATAAGAAACATGTGAGAGTGATATTATTGGGATGATTATAAAAGTAAAAGCAAGCTAATCATTAAAAATGAAGACAAAAATTACAGGGAACGACTAATAAAGAGGCTAGGTAGGTTTCAGTGTTTGTGTGTGGCGGAGGCGTTGGCAATTTTGTCAATACAACCCCGAACTCTGTATACAGAAAAAGTTTGTCTAGTCTATTATTCTACCATAGTCTTAACCTCTTCACTAGTCATTCCCTGTATATTTTTTATTTTTATTTTTAATGCTTAGTTTGCTTTACTTTAATAATTAATTCATTATTATCACTCTCACATGCTCCCTTTGTGCATTTTCTCACCCTCTTCACACTTGTTAAGTTGACACTCAACTACCACCTCTCTCCTCACTCAATAAGAATTTCAACCTTATCAAATTTCTAACCCTTTCTTCCTTTCTGCTGTTGAATATTACGTGATTTGCAAATTTTATTTTTACCTTTGAAGCCACTTCTGAGTAATTATTTCAATTATGTCATCTCCTTCTATTAATCGATAATGAACTACGATACATTTTCGGTAAATAAAAATACGGCTGTACAACCTGTGAAGATGATTTCGACGAGAAGGAGAATTTTCTTAGCTGAACTGTCTTTTATTTTCTTCATGACTCAATGGGTATCTTCAGTGATTTGATTCTTAGATAAATCGACTACAATATGATAACCGTTCTAGCTGTTCAATGCTAAGTGCTCATTAAAACTTAATGACAGTACAAAATACGAAAACTGAGCATTGTGACAACAGCACACTATGAGACACTTTATTTCTAGTTACATGTTAAGAATTAATAGTTATGATTATTTTGTTTACATTCATTTTCAAGTTTATTATCACTCTTAAATCAAATCTGCAATTTATACAGTACGACAAGATGAAATTTCGCCACAAAGTTTCCGGCGAAGTTAAAGTCAAAGGCCTTTCAAAAGTTGACCTCCAAGAACCGATGAGACACGGGGAATGCTATGAAATGCCACTCCAAAACAAATCATGTCTCCCTTTTTGAACTTGCAGAGGGTAGGTATAGTGCTCTACTTATTTGTTAGGTACTTTTTCTGCGAATCTCTATTGTTAGGTAGGGTTACGGCTTTTTAGATCAAGGTTTAGGGTCTAGGGTTAAGGTTAGGTTTAGGATTAGAGTTAGGATTGAGATTATGGTTAGAGTAAGATTAGGTTCAAGAAAAGTGTCGGAAATATCAATGAATTTCAAAGTACCATGACCTACCTACAGCCATCTGGATGAATGGATTTATCGCTCATAGTACGATTTCCCTATAGATAATCTGTGAAATGACTGGGAGACATTCTTACAACACACAAGCTGCAACTCTACAGTGTAAAATCATGCTTGCAATATTTTTTAGTGTATTTCTCAACGATTATGCAACTTTTCTGTATCTGAATTCCGATTGGTTGTTCAAGGTCACCATGGTTTTGGCTATGATAGTTTAACTTTGTCCAGTTTCCTTTGGAAACCAAAATTATTCAGGTCACCACATTACATGTGCTGCTTGACACCATAAATGATAAATCAAGAAAGTGAGCTGGACAAAAATCAGCAGGTTTTGAACTGATTCAGCTCTCTGAGCTGAGTCAAAGTGTATGATAACAATGCTGATTAGTCCAACCCGAAACGAGTGAAACGGCCGTTCGGTGTTAAGATCACTTTGATCTGACTAGCAAACACTACTCTACCTGATGTGATTGGCATACAACTACTCATCTCAGTTAATCAGTTGTATATAGTGATGTATAGAGACGTAATTTTCCAGTTCTAGTGGGAAGCCGTGATTATTAAGATACAGCAGGTTGAAGATGAGGTAGTAACTCATCGAAGAAGACATTGCGAGATGGTCGCATTATGTCGTGAATTGGCAGAAGTTAGAATTCAAGGACCATTGGATCGGGTTCCAGTGGCTCAATGATCTACGAGCTAGCTCGCCTTGTAACCAGAAGGTTCTGGGTTCGAACCCTGGTGGGTGCCTACTGATGAAGAATCCCAAACTAAGACGAAACAGCTGTCCAGTACTCCCAGCTGGCTTTCCAATGGTTCTCTAACTGATTTCAGCTCATGATGAAATCCTCCATGCAACCTAATTTTCCTATATGTCATTTTTACATGTCTGTTTGTATTTCTCTCACCCCACTTATGACCTTTAAGATCCTATTGCTTGTTGAGTGTTTTAATTAATCAATGTCATTGGTGTCTCTCATGATTATCTTAAAGCATATATATATATATATATATATAAGCGCTGTCAACCATTTTCGCTTTTCATACGAGACAGTGAAAGTTCACCACGTCAACAGTCAGACTTCGCTTCTTGCGTCGCAATTTCGGTTGTATCGTATCACGTTGTTGTTCTTGTGGCTAATAATGGTTAGAACAATAGGCTTGCGTATCAACTAGGTAGGAAATTCGTTACCACAACTACAAGTGTATTAACGGCCATATCATATAGTCTTAGGTGTTAATTGACGTGCATCAATTAAACTTATTTGGAGCTTTAAGAAGATGAATGTTTTTTGAAGCTTAAACTTGTGTCACCCAGTACACAAGAATAACAGGTGCCAAGATCTTGAATACACAGTCAACCATTTAAGCCCTTTACAAAAACCTCCTTTCATTGCAATTTTTACGGCTATTATCATCATCATCATCAGAATAGCTATTATACAGCAGAATTGAACAAGTGAATACTTACCTCTTTGCTCAAAGTTGTAATATCATTTGGAAAAAAGTCTCTAGCAGATACTCTTGCAGCTAAACGTCCTTTTGCTCTAGCCAACAAATGATAACGTGAACGAAATATTGATAAGTATGTAAAATCTGGACCAAGTTGAAAATGTGGAGCTTCTGGAATCGGTTGTACGCAAGAGATTAAAGCACGTAAAACTGATGTAGAATTTTTATAACGTTTGAAAGGTGGATCAATATCAAGTGAATTCACTTCTTTTTCTACTTTAACTGAACTTGATGATGATGATAATGTTGTAAGATAGTATTCATGAGGTAGAAATAAGTGTTTACCAATCGATAAATTGTTTATGCAAGCATAACGCAGCATATTCAAGGAGCTGTAAGGAAAAAATAGAGAGTCATTGTAATACCATCATTATGAGAAAAGTGGCATAAATGCCTACTTACATGATTTCCATAGTGTACTGAAATTTAGAGTTCATGAGTAATAATAATAGCAAGACACAATCCCTTTTTATCACCCATGAATTTAAATACACTGAATGGAGTATTTTTTTAAAGTTTATAATTCAAAATATGCGTCAGCGGTACAGCAGTAGAATTCTCACCAACAACGTACGTGGTCCAGTCTCCATTCACAACCGACACACTCCTAAACTCAGGCAAGCATTAACTAACCTTTTTTCATCTAGTAAATAAACAATCTCCTCCATCCATCTTTATATACCTTCAAGTTTTACTTTTATTCTTTCTATTATATTTATGGTCCTGTTGCTTTTTTATTTCACTTTCATAATTGCAAACACCAGCTTACATTTATGACTGCTGTAATCCTTGTTTTTCCCCTCACCACGTCATGTAAAGAAAACATTATATTCAATATTTTTTAACATGCTAGGATTTCTAAACCGCATCGACAATACTGTGTGAAACAAGCCCACGGCAATTTTCACTTGTATTATTATTACTATTACCTTAGCTGTTATCATTATTATTATTATTTCCATCTTATATGCTGCATGTTTTTGAAATTACCCCTACTGTAAATGTGGAAAATCTTCTGGGTGACTAATTTTTATGTATAATTTCAGGAAATTAGATGCAATATTGTGATTAATGCTGAAAATTCCATTCTGTATCACAAGTACTGTTTTTGGAATAAAGTAAATTATTATTATTATTAACTTCATCTAACCGGTAGTCAGTTTGGTAAAGAGAGAAAGTTCGCTGTGAGGCTAGCAACTTCACGTAACTAGAAGTTACCGCTAATGAAACTTCAAAGCTTAAGCTTGAAGCCATATGCTCCACTCGGAATGCAAAGGAATGAAGAAAATAATTAAATTAATAATCCGTATTGAAATATAAAAACAAAGAATACAGAGAAGAAAATTCTCTTTTCGACGATTTCATTTTCATAGCTGTACAATCGGGCGTCGGTGGCATAGCGGTTAGGACGCTCGCCGACCATGCACATGGTCCGGGGTTCGATCCCCGGCCGACGAACTCCTTTACCTCGCTAAGACAGAAATAATGCTGGTGAAGAGGAAAGGCTGGGCATGAGGCTAGCAACCCCATCCCGTAAAATTAAACACTGCTACAGAAACTTCAAGCCACTAGCTTGAGGCTCTATGTTCCACTGGGAACGTGAAGGAAAAAAACAATCGGTAATAACAATCAGTCTTCTTGTGTGTTAAAGTTTGACAGCGAGTGGAATATTAAAGTGCCATAATAATTTAAATATTCCCAAAATGGGATGGAACAATTAGTCAGTTAGTTTTGAATATGCATGGTCAATAAGAAAATCTTATTTTAACTCATGTGCCTCAGTTATCTCATATATTCAAAACTAACTGATTAATTGTTCCATCCCACCTTATACCTGTTCTACAATACATTTCTGATATGATTCTAATTTGCCTTTACCTCGCTAGCTATTGTATGCTTAAACTAATGGATTTATAATTGTAGAACCTGAAAAAGAATTTATTGAAAACAATTTTTCACTTTAACTATCTTGTTCTGCTACAGTAATAATATTGGTGTAGCGGATTATGAGTGACAATTGATTAGATGTATGAATGAAGGGACCAACCTAAAGTTCAATAGACATGTGTGAAATAGATGATGGCGAAATAAAATACATTGAGAAATATGAATATGTGAATATAACATGATGGAGACATAAGATGAGTGGAGTGTTGTCAAAATAGCAGACTAAATAAAGCGTTAGAATATGACAATAGAAAGTGAAATAAAACAAAACATAAATGGAACCATTTTCTTAATTTTACTATATAACTCACATAAAAACTTTGTTATCCTTCTTTATTTAATGTTCTATTTATGTTTTCTTTTATTTCACTTTATATTATCATATTTTAACATTTTATCTAGTCTAATTGAATTTTAGATTTTCCCGTCGACTGATTGGACCGAAGTGCTTGGTCTCAGGTTGACATGTCGACTTCTTGTGCAGATGCTTCGGCGATGTCTGGGCATGTAATTAGAATTTAATTGGTGGATGGTGACTAGCAGTAGAATCCAGGATGCGCATTTCGTTCTGTTTGGGACTCGCCAGCTGGATGTACCTGCATTCCTCAGTGAGTGATGATGTTCCCACTGAGGCTCGAACCCAGTGCTCATAGTTTCAAACGCCAAAGCGTTATCCACTAGACCAACTGGGCCACGGGAGCCACCTGTTGTGCAATGGGTCATATTAATTATTTAATTGAATTTTAGATTTTCCCGTCGATCATATATATATATATATATATATGATTGTACAGCTATGAAAATGAAATCGTCGAAAATGAAAGTGCCACCTAACCTTCTTAAACCAACTTATGCAAGATTATACTATCTTAGGCATCTACTTCCAGGTTATAAATAGCAAATTTAATTTGATTTTTAACATATTTTGGAAGAGGGTAAAAGTAATCGCAAGGGTGTTTTCGCGCACAGTATAGCGTACGTCACAACAGATATTACAGCTGCGTGTGTGTGTGTTTGTGAAAAGCCGACAAAACACTTTTAAAATAGACAAAAGTAACATCTAAGATGATTACAGCATTCCTTTAAGCACGTAATATAGGACCAAACAGCTGATGAAATTTAAATCGTAATTGACTGTCTCTCTCTACTACTCATTCAAGTAGGCAGGTGAACAAATGCATTTCAACTACTCATTTATCTGATTTCATTTTTTTTTAAAAAGATAAAATAATCTTCAAGTTAAATAAATTTTCCAGAAAAAAATAAATAGAAAACAATAAGTTTGATATATTAGGAAATTTATTTACAATATATAACCACATTAAAACAAAAGAGGACAATTATACGGGAAATACACAGAAACAATAAGAGGGAAAGTTTATCAAAGTCATATCGATAAGTATATACATATTCAGTAGGGATGGAATAAAACAGGTTTAGTCAACATCTTTGTGAATACATATATGAAGAAAAACGGAATACTCAATTACGGCACTTTTATAATAAAAAAAAAACAATATACACATCTGCATATATAAATTTATATAATATTACTATTATTATTGAAAATAAAGGGAGGGGTGTGGGGGTAGCGTAAAACCACCGGTGGATTACTTTCCTCTTAATGAATAAGAATGAACATCAGAGATAGACTTAGACCGCCTTTCACTTCGTACACCTTTTGAACGGGTAGCACGAACACTTTTATGACGACTATTTACTGTACCTTTAGTTGGTATATATGTAGTGGTCACTGGTGTTGATGTTGATAATTTTGTAGTCATCCCTGGAATTGTTGTTAGCGTTGATCTTGTCGGTGACATCTGTGGTGCATTTACACTGGTTTCTTTAAGATTGACACTTAACGATTGAGTATTCAATGTTATAGTAGGTGATACATTGACATGGGAAGATTTTGTTCGCATCGATGATTCGGCTAATTCACATTTACAGCATAAATGAGATTTTGGAGCATTTCGTGTTGTTCGCCTTAGTGATTTATTATTATTATTATTACTAAGAGTTAACGGTTCTGTATCACCTGAAGATTCAGAAGCTGTAGTCTGAATAGATGGTTGTTCCATTTTCAGTGGGACTGGAAAAGAAGAATAGTGTAAACACAAAAAAAAAACAGGTAAACAGAATTAAGAAGAAACAATAATATTAAACATATTGATTTTAAGATTTATATAAGGAAACTGTTAACAATTTCCCAACAGTAACAAAACAAACTGACCTTATGATGTCTCATATAAACTACAAAAGAATACGAATTACACTTAGGACAAGAAAAGTAAATGTTAGAGGATTTTATTATATTCTCTCCTTTAGTTCCTAGAGGAACATAGGGCTTCAGGCGCACGTTTCCATTGCGTTCGCTTCTCCGCAAACGTTTTCACCTGGTTCCACGTTTGCCCACATGTTTTCATCTCTTCTTCATATGACCTCCTTGACGTCACCCTCGGACGACCAACTCGCCACTTCCTGTTCGGGTTCCACTCGAGTGATGGCCTTGCGTGTGATGTCATTTGATGGTCTTCTCAGAGTATGGCCAATCTGCCTCCATTTCTTCTTGCATATTTGTTGCACAATTGGTTCCTGCTGGGTTGGTTCGCCTCCAGAGATCCCTGTTGCTGATCTTTTCTGGCCGGCCATCTGATCGTGAGTATTTGGAGGAGATAGCTGTTGATGAAGGTCATCAGTTTGTTCGAAGTGCCCCTCGTGACGCTGCGCCAAGTCTCTGATCCGTATAGTAGCACTGACTTCACAAGGGCGTTGAAAATCCGGATCTTATTTTTCATACTGAGTACTGTTAACCCCCATACAGACTTGAGAGTAATGAAATATTGCCTTGCTTTTCCGATCCTCGCACTTTGATATCCTCATCAGTTCCGTCCGCCTGTAGTTGAAACGATGCTTCCCAGGTAGGTAAAGGAGGTTGCTTCTTTCAGATTTCTCCTATTTATGCTGATTGTTGTTGTTGCTGCTGGCCAGGAATCTTCATCACCTAACTCTCTCTTCTCTATGTTTACCTGAAGGAAGTCCTATTTTTGATGCTTCTTCTGCCAACTTGTTGCTTTTCCAGTTTGTGGGAAATCAAACATATATCATCAGCGAAGTCCAGATCCTCGAATATTTTTTGTGTGAGTCCATTTTATGCCTGTCTCCTCGTTGCCCGGCCCGCTGTCTCCCGCATTATTTAGTCTACCGTCCGCAATCAGGAAAATTATTATAGATAGTAGGCAGCCAGCTTGTCTTACTCCCGACTTCACTTCGAAGGATTTCGTGAGTTTCCCGTTGTGGATTACTTGGCATGCAGCATTGTCGTACAGCTGTTGGATGAGATGTATAATTGTCGGTGGCACCTCATAGTAGCGAAGTAGTTTCCAAATCACCTCTCGATCGACGCTGTCGAAGGCCTTTTCAAAGTCGATGAAGTTGAGGTAGAGAGCTGAATGCCATTCCAAGCTCTGTTCAATGATGATCCGTGATGTAGCAATTCGATCGATGCATGACTTGTTCCTCCTGAATCCAGCCTGTTCCGGTCGGAGTTTTTCATCCAGGAGCGTGTTTGATTCTCTCCAGGATGATGCGGCTTAGTATTTTGCTTGGAACAGGATTAATAAAAACAAATGTATCTCACTATTCCGAATTTCTTTTAGAAGAAAAATGTCAATATCGTTTTTTTAAATGTGTTGAATTTCTTGTAACTTGAATATCCTCGTTGGGATATACACACAGTTTTAATTTTATTTGAACACATTCACAATTTTCTTTGGAAACTGAAATTATTCAGATCACAGTATATGATCTACGTGATACCTTAAATAGCAATCAAAAAAGCAAAAAAAAAAAAATAAATAAATGCATGATGCTGCATACTACTGATTTGTCAGTATGAGTAGTTGTGTACCACTCACATAAACGAGTACTGCTTGCTAGCTAGATCGCAGTGATCTCAACACTGGACGGCAATTTTAAGACCAAGTGTTTTGAACTGATTCGGCTTTCTGAGCTGAGTCAAACTGGATACAGTGCTCATGAACTAGGGCCCACCTAGACGAGTGAAACAGCCATCCAATTTTTGAAAGTCACTTCATCATTCTGGATACCAAGTACATACAACAAGTTGATGTGGGTAGTAGTAGTCAATCCTTCAGATCAATCGAATCTGCATTAAATCAGAAATTTTACTAAGTTCATGTGTTTCAGGTGAGAAAAATTTCATTTACCTGAACTTATATCCATATCAGTTAACCAAATTTTTCCAAACCAGAATTTAGCAGTTTTATCTACATAATGCATAAACATGTACAAATGTCGATGAACTATAGCTCGTCGACAAAGTGTTAACTGCATGCCATCCAGAAGTGTTGGAAGAATAGCTGGAAATATGTGAATAACAAAATAACAGAAGTCAATAAAATTTCATATAAAAGTTTACAATATGAATCAATATGTTAAACTTATCATGATCAATGGATATAGGATGCTAGATAGTTGGAGGCAATCGGCCATAGGAAGCCTTGATTAACCTAGGTTTCGTGCTAGTTGGCACTCACCAGTCAGCAAGGCGTATCGGCAATTTTTAAGGAACTCATGTCCCTTCTGAGATTCGAACTCGCGTCACCCAGAGACGTTACCACTGAGCTATTCGGGCTCGCGATTGACCTGTTTACAAAACAATAATCATTCACTTTCACAACACGGTGGTGTACAACCGAAATTTTACTTCACACTTTCTTTACACTGAAAAACCCGTAAAATACGGTAATACATATATAAGTCAGATGTTTAGAATCTCCGTACATATACGTTCACAATTCTTGTTCCTATTATATCATAGCGGCAGAACACATAGGTATTCAGTAACAGAATTCTCTATCTGTCAAAATGATGTCTAGTTGTGGCAAAATACAGAAACCCTAGGCTGAAATTTCCATTCACACATGTTCTTCGCATTGTACTTCTTTTGCCTTCCTTTTATTTCTCCTCTTCACTAGGGAATCTGTTGTTCCGCTGTTTAGTATTCTTGCAGCAGACATCGTGAGCAATACACTACTTACAAATTTTGTCAGTAGCACACGCCATAATAGGTATGAGTAGTGTGTTTAGAATGACGATATAAATAATCTGATTTTGTTGTGATGGTGTGTGTGTCATTGTTTTATTGTTCACTTGAAATATCCCCCATACTGGGAGAAAAACACAGAAGTGAAATTCAACTGCGACACCAACGAGGTTTTATTACTCAAAATACAAAGTATACACAGTTTAGAAAACCTCAGGAATTCACACCATAAATAAACAAATTTGATTGGTTGTATAACATCGTAAAGCCTCGGAAAATCAAATCACAAAAATAAACAGTCAAAAACTGTCCAATCAGGTTATCACGTCAGTGCATGCAAAAATCATGAATTTGCAGCTGACAAAGCTTGCCTGTCCTCGGTCGGTCGGTTTTCGACATAGAACTTTGCACATATGTGCGGCATTTCAAGTCGCCACACTCCATGTAGCACACAAAGCAAGAGAAGAAAGTAGGAGAAATGCATAATATAGACAGTAAAAAGAGAGGTGAGACAAAGGTATAGTAATAACGAAGAACAAAACAGTTTAATTGGAAATCATAAGTCACAAGGAGTGGATGCATCTGCGCCACTGAGGACGATTTTGAGCCATGTCACCAATTGTCTCCAACCACTGGTTTTTACCATCCCGAGGACCCCAACCAGTCAGGAAGTCTACATCTTCCTACGTGTCTGGCTTAGAATAACTGTTATGGATTTCATTGACTGGTGCCAAGTTTTCGTTTGACCGCCGCTAGCTCTTTTCCAGCCTGGCCCTATATCAGCTAACATTGCCTGTCGAGGAAGGCGATGACTAGGTATACATAACACATGTCCTAACCATCTCAGTCGATGTAGCTTCACAGCCTCGTCGACTGATTTCCCCGCCTTACCTAGCACTCGACGCCTAACCTCAATATTGCTCACCTTATTATACCACTTCACGCGGGAGATAGAGCGCAGACACCTATGATCGAACACAGATAATCTTTTCATGTCTTCTGCTCTCAATGGCCAGGTCTCACAGCCATAAAGGAGGACGGAGCGGACTGCTGAGCAGTACACACGCCCTTTGGTTGATAGTCGGATATCACGTCTACGCCAGAGACGGCGTAAACTGGCATATGCGAAACTAGCCCTCTGTATTCTTACTGAGATTTCGTCAGAGACCAACCCGTTGGGGCTGATGGTACTTCCCAAATAAGTGAAGCGGTCCGTCCTAACAGATTTTCACCAAGTTTTGGCATATAACACGATAGTTTGGTGATTTCGGGGATAGTGATGACTGACTTATCGATATAGGACTTTGCACAAAAGTGAAGCACCTATTAATCAACTGATTAAACCACCTCACAAGAAACATGACATGAGTTTGTCAAGCTGAAGACAATTCGATAAGCGACACAAAAATGAAGAATAACACACACACACACGCACACATAACATTTCATATTTTATCTATATTCACAGTAATTCGCTCAAGCAAACATAGTACCAGCTGTCACTAATCTTATTTCCGACAGACCATTAGTTTTTCAAGTGTTGGTTTGTAGGGATTTGATTGGTTACAGGATTTCATCATGAGTTGACATTAGTCAGAGAACCATTGGAAAACCTGGGAGTACTGGACAGTTGTTTCGTCCTAGTTTGGGGCTCTTCGGTAGTACACACCCACCGGGATTCGGCAGAAGTTAGAATTCATTGGCCATTGGATCGAGTCCCAGTGGCTTAATGGTATACGAGCTCGCCTTGTAACCAGAAGGTCCTGGGTTCGAATCCCGGTGGGTGCGTAAACAGACCGTTAGTTTCTTGTGAAATTTGACCAAGTGATATTTGAAAATCGACTAGGAACATTCTTATTAATCATCTTCAGATTAACAGACGCTTACATTACGTGTCTACCATCAAGGTTTGTTTCGTTGTTGAAACATTTATTGTAATTAAAACACTGGCAAAGCAAGACAGACAATGAAATTCAATTTTCAATACACAAGAATGATAAAGACGCCCTCAATTTTAATACTAAAACAAAGAAATTTACTGCAGTTTTCTAATTTTTTAGTAACCTGCATATCGGTTCCTAGTACGGACGCATTAACGATGCCTTTTAACTTGATGTGACTATCAGTGGCATCTAGAACACGTGCTTTTTTCTACTTGGAACTCGTCATCATTTGGATGTACCTCTATCCCTGTGAGACTTGAACCCACCAGTGTTATGTGCTGGTTAAACAATCATGAGAACTACCACTTGAGAAACAGGTATTATTTGTTATTTTATTGGAACACCATCACCCACTGAGGTACATCCGACCGAAGAGTCCCTGAAAAGGACGAAAGACGGTTTTGTACTCTAGTGAGTCGCTACCTATCAAGCAACAGAGAAAGTCAAAATAAACAAATGATAACGAAAAAAAGGAAAAAAAGAGGATAGGGGGTGAAATAATCTTATTGAATATGGAAAATAGGTCTCTATCAGTTACTACGACCAGAAAAAAAAACAATAGAACCTTTCTTAATATTATATGAACCTACAGTTTGAATCTTATAAAGCTGTAGGTATTCACAAACACACACAAAGAAGCAGAAATTCTATGCATCAAAGATAACTCACTGAATAATCGTAAAAGGAAATGCGGTGGATAGTTTAAACAAGGCAGTTTTGGATTTTTCACTGCTTCAGAATTTGGCAGTAATTCATATCGAGGTGAAGAGAACCGATAGACAGATTGAATATCATTTGGACTATGTGGAAAATTTACACCGAATGCTGTACCATTTTCATACAACTGAACGCTAGAGTTAATTATAGATATGAAGAAACAAAACAACAAAAAAATGGAAATACATGTACAAGAATTTTACAAATAAATTTACTGATGAAAACAGAAATTCAAAGAAAAATATTCTTTTCTTTTCCTCTAATATTTTTATGGGGCATTAAAAGTACAATTTCAACTGATCAAATAATATGTGATTGTGCTACTTGAAATATCAGGTCATACGTGTAAATATTGCTGGAATAAATTATTAACACATTGTGTTAATATTTCGTATAGTTTACTAATTTATTCTCGATATTTTTGCAAAAGGTAATAATAATAATAATGATTTATTTCAGAAAATATGCAAACACATAGTACAGAAATATTAACTAATGACGTTTCGAGCACAAACTATTGCTCATAATCTTATCAAGGCACTCACACAACTTTTTACTTCATTTATATACATGAGTGGAATTGATTATACGTTTGAATAAAAATCAATATAAGATAAAGTACATTCGGAAATAATAATATGAGTGTTATCAATCAAATACAAGCAGACTGGAAATAAGATGTTTTTACAGTCAAAATAAATAACTTGTTAGAATGTTATGATGTATGTGAATTGAAATAGAATTTTAAGATTATTTATTATCCTCCTCTGATTTTACTGGTGGTAATAATATCTTTCATATCTCTCGTATTTGCGTTGAGTCACTCCTATTGCATATGTTGGGTGTAGACTCGATGAACCAGGCAGAATTCAGTAAACAATCTCTCTCTCCACCTACCTACCTATATTACTTCCTAGAATTTTGACTCTATCCCACCACCCTATTGTACGGTTGTGTGTTAATCCATGCAGTGCAATCGCTGAGCTTTTTTCTAAATTACTTATCTTCTCGGGGTTAAGCATTCTTACCTTAACTAAATTCGAATGTTCCAGCAATCTGACTACCCCCGACCTACTAGTTTGACATATGTAGTTGACGTCAAAGTCATAATGGAGTTATACTCTACCACAGTGGCCAAGTTTTAGACTTATAACATAATACAGAAATTTCCAGTGTATTTAGTTCCAAAATATTTCTTCTTCATACAGGATTTACACATATAAAGTAGTAATCTGAAGTGCATCATACGACACAGAGTCCTTGTATATGAAGACAGAACCAATTCTGTAAACTTTTTCTTCATCTCGTTTTGAAGATTTGCACAGTGTTTTAGTTAGAAGCGCACGAGTTCATGCAGTGGTCATCTGATATAATTGCACAATCAAAACACTGAGAAACGCGGGAGCGTTTAAGTATTTTGATGGATGGGAATTCCGGTAGCCAATGATTTAAGCAGGCGGCCACCGTGTACTAAATTAATTTTATTTGTAAATCACAGGGGAGAAAATCCACAATATGTCATTCTGCCTGATACTATAAATATCAATCAAGTAAATAATCAATACAGAAAGATGACATATACCACTGATTAGTATGAGCAGTCGGGAACTACTCACATTAAACAAGCAGTACTAGCTAGTAAGGTCGAAGTGAACTATACACCACACTGCTGGTTCGGTTAGACACAGTTCAAAATATTCATCCATCGATGTTCATATCTAATAATTATGAACATGTACAATAAACAATCTCAATCTAATACGTTCAAATGAATAAGATGTTGTGGAAGTTTGAGTAGTTGTGAGTAGTACAATTCTGAGAATCATGATGCAGTGAACAATTGTTTTATTCTATTTCCATAATTTTGAGGAGTTTGCAGCATCCAAGAACATCCTTAAGATCAACAGACTACACAGCTGCTGAATTCAAACCAGTTTGTTCATTCTCTAATCTTAAACATGCAAGTTAATATCAAGAAGTGATATCTACTGATAACAGTTGTGCTATAATAGGTGATCCATTAAAACTCCAGTATAAAAAGTGTAGTTTATGTTGTGAATATAATTATTAGTCTATATCATATCAGTAAAATGATTCTAGGTTATAATTGAAAGGTTGTTATTCTTGTCTTTGGAATAAATCAGCTTTTTTTCTCTTACTAATTACTTACTCGTTAGTTGATCGAGACTTCTCACTAGGCAGTAAGAGATAGTCTCTAAGAGTGAAATCAAATAATATACGCAGACTGGAACAAACTTCTGCACAAATTAATCGATTTTGATCAGTTTGCGAAAATAACGGATTCATAATACGTGAAACACGATCTGAAACAGTTTCTTTAGAAATTGAAAAAAAATCAAGACAAAAACAAAGATTTAATATTGTATAAATAGTTAACAGGTGATATAATAACTTTGCTTTGATATATTAAGAAAGACAATAACTAAGAGTTTCCACAGTTGTAATTGTACTCGTATCTTCTAATGCTACAATCACAGAAGATACAGTTAGGCAGAACCAAACATGAAAAAAGTGAACAAATGAAAATAGCTTATATATATATATATATATATATATATATATATATAATTTTTCTTTACGAGTTGATCACGGATTGATATCAGTTAGAGAACCACTGAAAGCCAGGGAGTACTGGACAGCTGTTTCATCCTAGTTTGGGAATCATCGGCAGTACGCACTCACCGCCAGGGTTCGAACCCAGGACCTTCCGGTTACAAGGCAAGCTCGTATACCATGCCGACGATTCCCAAACTAGGATGAAACAGATATCCAGTACTACCTGGTTTTCAATGGTTCTCGAACTGATATCAATCCGTGATCAACTCGTAAAAACAAAACTAACCCTTACAAACCAAACTATATATTATTTTGAAAACCAGTGTATTAACGCACCGCAGTGTTTTCCAGTGGTACAATGCTGAGCCTCATAAGTACACTTCATAAAACATAACTGTATGAAAAAGGAGGAGAAAGACTCCAAAGATAGAAGACAAGAAAATAATCAAAACTGCAATTAGCAGGTATATGATCCTAAATACATCTACAATTTATAACTGAAAAAGTGTTTACGATCTGATCAATGAAAACTTCAGAATTCTGGAATCAATCGATTAAGCACCGTCAGTTAGAACACTTTTCACAAAGATGCTGTAAATCCACCTGTAAATTAAGCGCTAAATTATTCAGCTTATCAAGAAATTCTGATAAGATTTTTTTGGGAAATTATGAAGAACCAAGGCAAAAATTTTTGAGTACAACGGCTTTTTCTTATATGCAGTTAGATTAACCAGAAAATTTATGTGTCGAGTAAACCGTACACTTAAACTGGAAAAGGAAGAAAACTGTAAGCCGTAACCCACCAAACACCAATTATCAAGTAAGAAAATAGAATGTCTGACTATATATACTGTTGTAAGCTACATGCCACGTTGCGGTAACAATAAAATTAGGGAGTTGATAGTAAAAAAAAACTGACTTAACCGAAATGATAACACTCTGACATCTTAAAGTCTCAAAGATCGGTATAAAAAAGGAATCAAAACCAACTTGTCATTCAAGCAATAATTTCTGCCAATAAGTGCTTTGAAAACCACTAAGAATCTTTGACAGACCACGATACTGCAGACTGTATCATAAAATAAACAAGAAATACTGTTCGCGGAAAAAGTCATAGAGTTAATACATTTTAAACTAACAAAGAGTTTGGTATTTGCAAACCCTTCAACAAGAAGAGTGATTTATCTGAATGACAACTTACCATTTGACGAACTACAACAACCAAGCAGGGTCGTTATATTAAGTCCAGTATACGGAAATCCATCGACATATTTCTGAAGAAGTTGAAGAACAGAGCACCAATAATGGAACATCTTGGACACATTCATTCCCAAATCACTAGCATCTGTGTGAGACTGTAGTATATTTCGAAGATTTTGTGGGAAATCTAAAGATACCATATAAGGTTTGTGTATCTGTTTTATAAGTTTACAGTTTGTTTAAATCTACCTGAAGTTGTTCGAACTGCAGTTGTGTTGACTCTTCTTGACCTAACACTGATGAAAAGAATTCATCCAAAACTGGAATGTTTTCTCCAAATGTAGGCGAGTTGGAAAGTGTTTTATCTTTGTTACTTTCACTTGACACAGACCTATGACAAGATCTACGCAATTTTTTCCCTTTCCAAATACCTGGAACTTTATCCCAGTTGATATCATCACCACTTAGCGCTGCAGTTTCTAGAATCATATCAATACGTTGTTTACGATGAATTCTCCCACGCACCTTAGGAAAAAATTATTATAAAACTACAAAAGTTACATTTTGAGCAACTTCGTCAATTTTCCTTTTTAGCATTCTGTTAAACTCATTATTTTCAAGGAGTAAATCTTCTCCAACTTCGCGATCCCATTTGCACTTCCAACCATGGAAATGAACAGTATAGTGTGGAATATCTGTAGGTCCTTCAGGAACATGTTTTAATATCTAAACAAGTCAAGATCTATTTAAGTTGAATATTACCTTGGCAAAGTAAATTAGCTTGGCCTTAGAACTGTCAGGCTCGAAACACAAAAGCTTTTGGCCAATTTCATAGCGATGTTGATGCTGATGCATTGCACAGGTAGTTTGACATAGAAATCGGATAGGTAACTTTGAAAATAAAGTAACAGTACTTTAGCACATCATATGAAAAAGAACAAAAGTTTCTTCAGAATGATCAAATCAAGAAAAATCTTTCAAACCAAGTTTCACTCTCGGTGAGTATAATAACTTTTTTATTCGTTTTCGTTCCCAGTTGGACATATGACTTCAAGCTAGAGCTTCGAAGTTTCAGTAGCACTGGTGTCTTTTACGGGACGACGTTGCTAGCCCCACGCCCAACCTTCCCTCTTTACCGGGCTTATTGCCAACTAAGAGAGGTAAAGGTATGCGTCGGCCGGGGTCGAACCCCGGACCATCTGCGTGATTGGCCAGGGTTCTGTCACTAAGCCATCGACGCTATAATAACTACAGAGACCCATTAACATCCAGCTGATAAGTCTGAAAAAAGAGGCACATTGAGAATATCCTGAATAACCACCACTAAATGTTTGAAGAACTTACAATGAACTAGTGGCAAACTGATATTCATATTTACACTTGACAATTGACGTTAGCAGAAAAGTGTAGTTTGCTGTGAGATTTACCCTAAAAGCCTTTAGGTCAACCAATCGACTACATATAAACTTTATCACAAATACAAAACTAATTTTTAGAACAGTCATAAAAGAATAACGCACAACCTTTTACAGGAGTGCATAGTTCCAGCTGTCACTTCGTAAGGGCAAAAAAGGGTTAAATAAGAATAAATGAATAAATAAAACCGATAGAATGCCTGTAAGTTTGAAAATGACCTGAATCAAATGCATCTTAATTTGACTAGCCTTCAGTTCTGTTATTTATTTCTGGTAGCTTTATTTACCTAAACAAAAGTCTATAGAACTTTACACGACTTAGACCAAAGGCCATACACTAGTGCTGTCGTGATCTAATAAACTTCGACTTTGGTGTAGGCTAACTGCACTTAGGCTAATATAATGTAACGAGGAATGTGATAATGAGGAATATGTGATACATGATTCATCTGATTCAGCTGATGTGGATTCACAATCCCCTCCCCCTAAAAATCTGTTTCTTCAAGTCTAGCCTCCACATAACTTATTATAAGGTCTGTATGGATTCAACATAGAACTTGACACCGAAGTGCAGCAGTTCGAGTTGTCACGTTCCAAATAGCACAAAAAGGTAGACAAGAAGATGAGTGAAGAGAACCAAGAGAGTTTTGACAAGTATAAGAGTGAAACAGAATGAGTAATGGTAGAAAGGAATATGAAAGATTACAAAGACTGAATACATCTGCGTAAGCCATTGACAACGATTTTGAGCCATGTCACCTATTGTCTCCAGCCATTGATTCTTAGAGTCCCGAGGGCGGGCCCCAACCCGGAAGTCTGCATCTCCCTACCTGACTCGATTTAACTGTCAAGGATTTCATGGATTAATGCCATGTTTTTGTTTGGCCACCACTTACTCTTTTCCAACCTGCACCTATATCAGCTAGTAATGCCCGTCGGGGGAGGCGATGGTTATGCATGCGCAGCACGTGACCTAGCCATCTCAATCTATGTAACTCTAGCCTCTTCGATTGATTTCCCCTCTTTGCCCAACACTCCACGCCTAACGTCAACATTACTTACCTTATTATACCACCTAACATGAGAAAGAGATCGTAGACATCTATGATCAAAAACAGTCAACCTTTTCATGTCTTCAACTGGTATTGGCCATGTTTCAGAACCATAGAGAAGGACGGAGCGAACCGCCGAGCAGTACACACGTCCCTTGGTTGATAGCCGGATGTCACGCCTACGTCAGAGATGGCGTAAGTTAGCGAAAGCAACTCGAGCTTTTTGGATCCGTGCTGAGATTTCGTCGCCAATCAGTCCATTGGTGCTGTTACAACTTCCCAAATAGGTGAAGTGGTCAACATTTATTCATTTTTTTTATTTTTATTTTTATTTACAGCTTGATTCCACACCGTATTTTCAGTACAAGTGTGGAATTTTCAGCATGGATATCGGTAGCCCAAATTCAGGCCGACCATAGATATCGGGTGTGCGCCGGCAGGGGATCGAACCCCGGACCATGTGCATGGTCGGCGAGAGTCCTAACCACTGTGCCACCGACGCACATGTTCTATCACTTCACTCCCTATCACTAAGCTAGGAGTTGACGTAGTCCAGTCCTGTGGCATCATACCTGAACAATGCCGTATGGGTACTTGAGATTACAGACCTTTGGTCCACTGATTGGCTTGCTTACTAGTAGCAAATATTTAACAACTACAGATTGACACAATAGACTGCTGCGGGTTACAGAACTGAGAACGAACTTTTTCATTTGTGCCCAAACTCCACTACCAATCAATGGATGATCGGAATCCTCCAAAAATAAAGTGAGATAATGATTAAGATTACAAAAAACATAGATACGATCTCCGTTTGTCTGCCCAAACTCTATTTCAAAAGTAACCCAAAACACTTCTGAATAATTCATCTTATGTATTTCAACACTGAAGTCAACCACTAAGAAGGCGTTGTAATGAATCTTGAAGTTATTAATTGTCAAACTTTGTAATATAAACCTCAGTTCCACAAATCAAGATTATGGAAAGGAGACAAAAGACAAATAATTCGTCATTAGTGGAAGCAAAAAGCAATGAAGTCCAATTGAGCAATAGTCTAAAAAACCTTTAAATCGCTGCTCTAAAAAAACAGTACTTACAGAATTCTTTACTACTATTGTAAAAGTTCAATTAAAGAAATTTTAAAGCCAAGAAAGAATGCAGTATATATTGTTGATTATTTACTGACTTTATTGTTAGAATATTGCTTACATGAAACCTATTGCTTCTTACTTTTATATCGAAAAAGTCTAAATTTTGTAGAGACTTGGTTTATCTGCCTAAACACTTAACTATCAGCCGATTAATCCCGCTCCACGTACTTCGGCCGAAGTGGGTAGTGCCATTGGCCTACACACGATAGAGTTGGTTTATGGTGCCGTAAGTGAGAAATCTGATCGAAACTGTAGAAACTTGGGAGTCACACTGACTTCACACAATGACAGTAAGGATACTGACAGGTAAATTAATGACAGTTGGTTGTGTTACTCAATTAGCCACCTTTTGTGATAAGACGCATCTTTAAAATTGCAGTAAAGAGTCTTGTTGCTTATAAACAACCATCTGTTGGTGTTATGGTATTCCCTTGTCCCAACATATGTATTTAGTTAAGTAGAAAGTAAACCACTGAAAAATAGCATCCTATGTAGTAATACAGGAACTAAGGTTATTTACACAGCTGTGATCTTAAATGCTACAGATTAGGAGTTTCTAAGTAGTTAAAGAGTGGATTACACTGACTCACTGCATAGGTTACACATGTTTGATTGGGAGATCTCACTTTAATTCTATATTTATATATTAAAAACATACGATGCATTCATGCAAAGATGTCATAAAGGGCCATAAAAGTACTGGGTTAAAGATTAAAGTCCTGCAGCTGTTTTTACACGTTTCAGGATGGCGGTGTTTCTCCTTATATATAGTAACATTCGTAAGAGCTTCTCTGTTTGTGGCATTACATTATTTTGAACAGTTCTCCTACAAGACTTCTTAATATTCGAGAAATTAATCAAGGAACACCTCAACCCATGGTGTGCTTAGAGATAATATAGGGAGGCCCGTACCGTTTTAGCAGTCAACTAATGCCACTATCATAGCGGATACAACACGGTTTTATTTGATAACATTGTTATTACTTAAGAAACCTGTGCTCTACCGAAAATATTACTGCGCCTTGTTTTAAGTGCTAGGTAGATGAGGAGTGTCTGAATAACGAATCCAAGGGTTTTAGTTTTAAAACGTGAGCATTCAAACAGACTGGGCTTAAGTATCACTAAAAAGCAGATAGTGACCTTTTCAATTGATTCACGAGGTCCAGAATGAATAAAAAATAATGGCATAACAGTTGAAAAGCATTACACGAACTCAACCTAACACACAGTACAGTGTAATTGTGTAAGTATTTTCAAGTTTATATAAATTTAAGAGGAACTTACCGACGTGACAAGACGTTTGCGTGACAAGTATGTCGTTAAGAACAGAATCATACGCTCATGACTCGAGTCATGATAATTTAAACACTATATAATGTTAGAGTTAGTTCAGAATTAGCGGGATTTAATTCAGCATTATAGTGATTTCGGGTCCTCAAAGCACTTTTGAGATTTTTATCGCAAGCGATGATGCGCGATAAAAGGTAAGGTGGAAAAGTAGGGCAAGGGATAAATTTTAGTCGTAATAGCTATTCAAGTAAGAAGCAGAGACAAGAATCAAGCTTGATTCTAGACTCTGAACAGCACATATCCGCCCTTAAAAATCAAGTTCACCCTCAAAACAGTTTCATCTCCAGTCATTTAAGCCATTTGAAAGTCCTTAGGTAACAATAAAGAAGTCCTCCTAGGTCGATAACCCTTATTACTGAAGTTTGAAGTATTCTAGCTATGGTAGGTAGGTGTGATTTCAATAGTAACAAATAGACCTTTCGA